TCAGGTATATTAAAAGGGAATTCTGCAACTTCGTACTTTATTTTAATCTTTAAAAAGTACTCTGAAAAAAAATAAAAAAAATAAAAAATAAAATAATAAAATAAAATAAAAAGTACTCTGACTCAGGCCATTAAGTTGCATTGGGTGGGGCATATTTTATACGTTTTTATATTTACATTTATATTTACATTTAGAGAGATGTATAATATCTTGACAATAAGTCTCACTTTTCAGGCATCAGCAAATAAAGGACTGCAACAATAGTCACAAAACAGTCCTTTGTTGGCTCTGCTTCCATCATTCCGCAGGAAAGCCAACTTTCCTGTTTTCTCCCAAATTGTTTTATAAAGCGCCAAGTGCATGGGATAGCAGCTGTTTTCACTACTATTTCCTTCCGGCCTGCTCTTCTCTGGCTCCCAGGAGAGACCTCTGCCTCTGTGAGGCTCACAGAGCAGACCGGCCTCGGATCTGCCCACAGCACTCTGCAGGTGTCCACAGGTGTCTGCAGGTGTCCGCTGGTGCCAGCCCCAAGCTACTCATGTCCTACACGGAGGCCTTTTCTTCCCGGACCATGCTGTGTCTTCACCATCGCTTGTCATGTCAAAATCACCAGAGCCACCTCAAGTTCTGCTGAAACTATGTGGTGTTTCAAATTCTACTAAAAAAGGTAAGAGTGCTCTAGCTGGTTTTCCTCAGCAGACAGAGCTTCGGCCTGCAGATCTAAAGGTTTGATTCCAGTCAAGGGCCCTGGTCAGGGCACATGCAAAAGGCAACCAATTGATGTGTTTCTCTCACATCGATATTTCTCTCTGACTTTCCCTCTCTCTCTCTAAAAAAAAAAGGAAAATATCTTCAGGTGAGGATTTAAAAATAATTAAGAGTAACTTTTATTTTGTGTGATATTATTTTATTTATTATTTTAATAAACTTTTAAAATTTAAAATACTTATAAAAAAAACTCACACAAAAGTTACAGGTTCACAGAAAAATTGCAATGTAGTACCAAGAGTTCTTATGTATTTTATATCCAGTTTTCCCTTATTTTTATTTCCCTTATATTATTATCATCTTACATTAGTATGGAATAGTAGTTATAATTAATGCATCTATGTTAATATTAACTACAGTCCACATTTTATTCAGATTTCCTTAATTTTTACCTAATGTCCTTTAGCTGTCCTAGGATTCCATCCAAGATACTACATTAGATTACATTTAATCATCATATCTCCTTAGGCTCCCTTTGGCTATGTCAGTTTCTCAGACTTCCCACACATAGATATAATTTGAGAGAGTGAAAGGGTGGGAAGCAGGGGGGGGGGGAGACAAAGAGACAGAGACAGAGACAGAGACAGAGAGAGAGAGAGAGAGAGAGAGAGAGAGAAGTGAGAAACATCAACTGGTTACCTCCCGTATCACCCTAACCAGGGATTGAACACACAACCTGGATATGTGCCCTGACAGGAAATCAAACCTGAGAACTTTTGGTGTGTCAGTCAACACTCCAACCAACTGAGCCACACCAGTCAGGGCCAGAGTTCCCTTATTTTTTATGGCCTTGACAATTTTAAGGAGTATTGACCAGGTATTTTATAGAATGTCCCTCAACTGGTATTTGTCTGATGTTTTTCTCATTATTAGATTGGGGTTATGTGTGTTGGAAAGGAAGGTCACAGAAGTGCCATTTTCATTACATTATATCAAGGGCACATACTACCGACATGATATCACTGTGCATGTTAACCTTGATCACCTGGGTGAGGTCATGTTTGTCAGGTTTCTTCACTACAAAGCCACTCTTTCCATACTGTTCTCTTTGGAAGGAATCAATATGCAGAAACCGCACTTAACCAGTGAGGAGCTGTGCTCAGCCTCCTTGAAAACAGAGTATCCACATAAATTACTTAAAATTCTTCTTCATGGGAGATTTTTATACTCTCTCATGTTAATTTGTTTACTCGTTCTATGATTTATCTACATCAATATGCTTCATGGATTTTTAATTTATACTTTGGGTTATAATCCAATACCACTTTATTTTGTTGCTCAAATTGTCCAGCTTTGGCCAACTCTTTTAGTTGGCTCCTGTGTCCCTTTGACATACCTACATCTTTTAAATGTTCCTTATTAAGACTTTCTAGCACTACTAGATGCTCCAGGTTCACCTTGCATATTTCCTGTCTTGGTCATTGAAACAGTCATTCCTGGATCCTTTTATTGGAGAATGGTATAACCAAGATCTGGAGATAAAAACCCTCAAGACAAAGGACTCAATGCCTCCCTCTCTCTCTTCCTCCCTCCCTCTCTCTCTCTTTCTCTCTCTCACCCATGCTTTTGCCCCTCACATTCCCCCAGGAGAGTTTTCTTTGTCTTTCTTTCTCCTAAGCTCCAAGGGCCCTTCTTTAGTCTCTGTAACTTGTTTTTTCTACCTCTGTGACATTCTAAATAAATTTTTGCTTATTAAAAAAAAAAAAAGGAAGGAAGGAAATGAAAGGAAAGGAAAGGAAGGGAAAGGAAAGGGAAAGGGAAAGAGAAGAAAAGAAGAGAAAAGAAACCAAGATCTGGGCACTCGGTGTACTCATTGCTACCAGGGTATCCACCTGCTAAGCTCTTCCAGGTATCAGAGTAAGGAAATACTGTATGTGTACTAGGGGTGTCGAACTCAATCAGAGAAGGGGCCAAAATCTAAAATCCAGCCTAAATCGCGGGCCGAATGGCTTACTGAACAGTCATAAACTGTCATTGTGATGGAAACACAGCAGAGTGCAGTGATGACAGCGCGGTGTGGGCCACATTGCAAGGCCTGGCGGGACGGATTTGGCCCTCGGGCCTTGTGTTTGACACATGTGGTACCATAGCACACACACACAAACATCTATAAATAGTTCTGTATGTAACTGCCTGTATCAGTATTCAGCTAAACATGAGGTCATAGTGACATCTCCAACTCTAGTTCATCACCACATGGATCATTCTAGCCTTTCCCCCTGCGGATAGACAAGTTTTCAACTGAGATGCAGTACAGAAGGCTGCATCTAGCTTTACTGACTCCACTCATTCCCAAGTTATAGACAGGCATATTTTCTCCCTTCCATGAGGTTGGTTCACACATTTATAATGTATGTTACTTTGTTCCAGTCTTTATTCCATTTTGGAATTCTCCTAAATGTTTTTTTTTAATTTTGCCTACATTAATGCATGGTGTCATATATCCACCCTTCCAGTATTATGCATAATAGTGTTACCACCATAAAGTATCCCCCGTGCTTAACCTTTTCAACCCTTCTCTCCCTCCGACTCCCTGCTAATCTATTTTCTGCCTCTATAGTTCCCTTTTCTAGAAGTCTATAAATAGAATCACATTGTTTGTAGTCTTTCAGATTTTTCACTTAGTAATATACATTTAAGGTTTATTCATGTCTTGTTTAACTTGCTAGCTCATCCCTTTAAAAGAAAACTTAAAATTGTAGTAAAGTACACATAAGTTACCATCATAACCATTTTTAAGTGTACAGTTTAGTGATATTAAGCACATTTGTAACAGAGTGAAATGTTTTGTGTTTATTCTTACCCTGCATTTCTCTGAGAGCCTCTGGGTTAATATGCTAATTAACCAAAGGAATTCTACTGGAGGCTGGAGTGTTTGCCCCAGTAGCTCCTGGCCCAGGGGCCTTTCTGTAAGGTGTGGGAAATAGTGACTGCTTATCAAAGATTTACTGGAATCTCCACACCCGGACTCAGATCTGAGGGGCTCAACCACAGACTGGATCAAAGCGATCTGGAGAGGTCCAGCTCTTCCTTGGACTCCTTTTCAGAGCCTAGCTCTCCAGTTCTCTTGGGAGCGGAGGGGAGGGGAGGGGAGGAAACCACCGCTTGCTGTCGCCCCTCATCCCTTCCCTTGACAGATAAGGCAGCCTGAATTTGGGGCTCTCTTAAAATGGATTTGAAGATTATTTCTCCCATCTTCTCGGTTGGAGCCTTCTCGATCAATGAACCCTTCTTCACTCTAAACTCTGACGGCTGGAATATTGGCCTTTCTTTTGAAGCAGCGGGTGCACGAACTTTGCACCTGTAACACATTCGCATTATTGTGCAACCATCACCCCATTCATCACCCCAGAGCTCTCTTCATCTTGCAAAACTGAAACTAGACTTGGGCCCCATCAGACCTGCTCTTTCACCTTTAGGCTCGCACTTCCTGGACTCTTCCTGGTTGCTGGGCTCCGGGCTGCAAACCAATCCGCGAGGTGGGTCCCATGACCCACAGCTCTGTGAGGCAGGTGAGGAAAACTAGCTTGATTATCAAGGAGATAATCGAGCTGCATGCCCTTATTCACGGGTCGAAGGCTGGTTCGCTCTTCTCCGAAGTCCATTGCCGCACAACCACCCCCCATGCACCCGCTGCGCTGCACTTCCCTCACCTCCCGTCCTCTCCGTCGCCTCATTGGTAATAAAAATAAAAAAAAAACTGGTGGTTGGTCAAGGTGATCTTTGGGTGTCTTTCCAGCCTGGCGGCTTTACAGCTTTAGAAAGCGGGTAGTAAAAACCCGCAGTTTCCTCGCTGCAAAGCAACTGTCAAACCGTGGTGGCGGCTCACCTTCCCGCGCCCCGCGGGGCGCACCTGCACCTGCACCCCCCGCGCTGAGGTCCCCCCGGCGCCGCGGGGCCCGGCCGCCGCGCACGCGCAGTGGTCCCGGGCGGCGTCCCCCGCTCCCCGCACCCGCCGGCGCGGAGAGAGTGAGAGAGAGAGGCAGGGGCAGGCTGTGTGCGCGGCCGTGAGGCTCACCCTTGACCCCTGACCCCTCCGCCGGTGCCCTAGCGAAGCCGCCGCCCCCTTCCCCTGCGGCTCCGGTCCCCGCACCTCGGCGGGGAGCGGGGAGCGGGGAGCGGGGCCGGGGCGCGGGGGGCGGAGCCCTGCGGTGACGCGCGGGCCGCTCGCCGGTCTGGAGTCCGCCCGCCCCGAGGGCCGGCGCCGGGGGCGGGGCCGCAGACTTCGGACTCGGGACTCGATCCCACACACCGCCCGCCGCCGCCGCCGCGCCGACCCGCAGCCCAGCCGAGCCCAGCCCGGAGGGGAGCGAGCCATGCCGGCGGCGGCGCAGCGCGGGCTGTGGCCCGAGGCGCAGGACACCTGCACGTCGCTGGGCCTGATGCTGACCGTCGTGCTGTCCGTGGCGCTGGCCCGCGGGCTCCTCCGGCGGCACGTGCACGGGCCCGCGGCCCACGCCTTCGTCCTGGAGGGGCTGGCCACCTTCCAGCTCTGCTTCTGCACCCACGAGCTGCAGCTGATGGGCGAGCAGGAGCCGGGCCACCCCACCTGGCCGCTGACGCTCACCTACTTCTTCTCGCTGGTGCACGGCCTGACGCTGGCGGGCACGTCCAGCAACCCGTGCGGGGTGATGATGCAGATGCTGCTGGGGGAGATGGCCCCCGAGGCCGGCGCGGCGCGGCTGCTGGCGCAGCTGGTCGCCGCCCTGGGCAGCAGGTACTGCGTCGGCGCCCTGTGGGGCCTGGGGCTGACCGGGTACCACGTCGGGGAGAGGAGCCTCGCCTGCAGGAACCCCATCCACGTCGACTTGCCCAAAGCCGTCGTCGTCGAGGCCATCTGCTCCTTTATCTTCCACAGCGTCCTGCTGCACTGCCAGGAGGTCCGAGCCAAGCTCCGCATCCACATGCTGGCGGCACTCATCACCTTTCTGGTCTATGCAGGTTTGTGTTATTCCCACCCACCGCTCGGCTCCGCACCTCTGTGATCCGAGGCTCTGAGCGCTTTACCAGGATGTGAATTTGAAAACCCCTGAACCTCTGGGATGTCAGTACTAGTATCCCCGTTATTCTAGCCATTTTTCGCGGGACTCCCATTCTTTTTACCGGTAGGGCCAACCTAGTGTTCCTCCATTCAGTCCATTTTTGGACACTCAGAAAAAGGAGCCACTTCGGTGCTGAAACTGAGAACGTGTGAGATATTGCCAAGGGCTCGAATAGCCTACAAAGGGGTTGTTTCAGTGGCAGAGAGGAAGATACGTTATCAGCTACCTCTCGCCTCAAGCCAACCTGGTATAGATCCTTTCTGACACTCACTGAAAGATGATCCAGGGCTTAAAAAGTTCCTTCCAACTTAAAGCTACATGATTGTTTAATAGCAAGAGTGGCAGAGTACAGTTCTGTTTCTTAGCTCTTTTCCTGAAAAAATTACTTAAAAGTAATTTATTTCCTCAATAATTCATCTTGAGTAATAAATGAACTTTTAAGTGACCAATCAAGAAAGATGCTTTAAAATTAAGACTTGGCCCTAGCTGGTTTGGCTCAGTTGATAGAGCGTTGGCCTGCGGGCTGAAGGGTCCCGGGTTTGATTCCAGTGAAGGGCACATGCGCAGGTTGTGGGCTCAACCCCAGTAGGGAGCATGCAGGAGTCAGCTGACCAATGATTCTCGATTTTTTTTTTTTAACAATTATCTTTTTTAATTTATATTTTATTGATTTTTTACAGAGAGGAAGGGAGAGGGATAGAGAGCTAGAAATATCAATGAGAAACATTGACCAGCTGCTTCCTGCACACCCCCCACTGGGGATGTGCCTGCAACCAAGGTACATGCCCTTGACCGGAATTGAACCTGGGACCTTTCAGTATGCAGACCGACGCTCTATCCACTGAGCCAAACCAGTTTCAGCCTCATCGATGTTTTTATCTCTCTCCCTTTCCCTCCCTCTCTGAAGTCAATAAAAATATTAAAAAATTAAAACTTGCTTGAAGTTAAAGGTTTTTAAAAACAACTCTTGAGAAATCTGATTTCTTATAAACCATCTGTTTACCTTGACAGATATAAGATGCAAAAAGTTTAATGATGAAATGTGTCATTTTAAAAGATTACAACAAAGTATCTTCATTGGGACTATATCTGAATTATAAAATGTTTTGGAGGAAATATGTAGTAAGAGTTTATCTTCTTCCCATTAAAATAGGAGTAGAAGCAAACCTTGAGCTGAGTTCTCCTACTAAACATATGCTTGCCCTCCCAGGGTAAAAATGAACACCAGCAATGCAATGTTTTCCTTTCTTTAACTCTAGTACCCTTCTTTTTTTAAAAAATAGATGGAAATAAATGCTACAGGCAAGAGGGCAGGATATAATGTATATTTGAGGAGCTGGTGAATAATTGCTTATTAAAGTTTTAGGTTTTAGCTAAAGCAGAAACATCACATATAAACAGGGTCATCCCTTGCAAAATGTTTTGCCAGTTGGGACACGGTTGAGGGCACTCAGAAGTCACCATCAATACAGGTCACATCAGAATAGCTGGTTCTATATTTTAAGGCAGAACATAACTGTCCAGCACCGTAGCCACATGCCCGTTGGATAGCCAGTGACCAGGTGTCTGATGGTGCGTTTGTTGATTTGGCGCCCTGCACTGGATGCACGAATTAAAGCCACTGATATCACCTCTAGTGTACTTAATTGATTTCCCAAATAAAGAGGACGAAAAAGGTGGCAGGGAAAAGCTGTGTGCCCTATTACTAACATAAATTTCAAGAAAATCTTAACTTAGATATGGGGAATTTTAGCTCATTGAACAGAGTAATAGAGAACTGCATTCATTTTTCGTTTTTTCAATATATTTTATTGATCCTTCACAGAGAGGGAGAGTTAGAAACATCGATGAGAGGGTAACATTGGTCAGCTGCCTCTTGCACACCCCCTACTGGGGATGTGCCCACAACAAGGTTAAGTGCCCTTGACCAGAATCGAACCTGGGACCTTTCAGTCTGCAGGCCAATACTCTATCCACTGAGCCAAATCGGTTTTGGCTGTATTCATTTTTCAGTTCTACGTTGGAAAAAATTAGTTTACACATCCAATTTGTCTTTACTACAGCCCCCTGTTCATTTCCTTTGTAGAATTTTTATACACTTGTTTTCTGAGACAATGTCTGTTTTCCTTCACCAGACAGTAAGCTTTATGGGTAGAGACTAGAATTGATTCATTATAACATATAACCATGACTTAGCATGGTGTCACCTGCTACAAAATAGTAAGGATTTTCAGAATGAGTGAATCAGCAAATATTGTTTACTTTTTAAAACTCTCACAGAAAGAAATAATACAGCCCTAGCCGGTTTGGCTCAGTGGATAGAGCCTCGGCCTGCGGACTGAGGGGTCCTAGGTTCAATTCCGGTCAGGGGCATGTACCTTGGCAGCTGATCTTTGTTTCTCTCTCATCCATGTTTCTAGCTCTCTATCCTTCTCTCTTCCTCTCTGTAAAAAAGTCAATAAAGTATTTTTTTTTAAAGAAATAATACATATCTGGATATTCCATATGTAATGTCTAAGTACTTTCAAAATAAGCACAATAAATTATCTGAAGAAATTGTAGGATTTTTACTTTATTATTTAATTCAGGAGTTTTTCATGAAGAATGTAAGATTTTTATCAGTGGAGAAGGGAATTAAGCTTTTTACATGTTTTCATTTTTAATACAATAACCATCTGAAATAGGTGCTAATTTAAAGATGAAAAATAGGTTCAAATAAAAGTTTAAGACGTTTTTTAAAATGTTTTTATTTATTTCTGCAAGAAGAAGGGAAACATCAGTAGAGAATCCTTGGTTGGCTGCCTCCCACGCTGGGGACGAAGCCCACAGCCCAGGCCTTGTGCCCTGACAGGGAATCGGCCCTGATCTCTTGGTTCCATATTCGGACACTCAACCACTGAGCCAGATCAGCTGGGCTCAAGACATTTTATATTACGCTAGTTATAAGAGAATGGTTAAGAGGAATTGGACTGTTTCCTTAGGAGAGATACTTAAATTGGGTTCAGTTTCCTCATTTTTAAAATGAAGAACATACTGTCTATCAATTGTGAATAGAATAATGTATGCAAGTTCTTAGCATAGTACCTGCTACAAATACTCCAGTCACTAGTAAGGGCTAGTCCACTGTAAATGAGTTCATGGACATTCTGGATTACACGAGCCTTATGGGATTTTAAGAGGGTCATTTTGCCAGAGAATGTGATTCCCTTCAGGAGTGCTGAGAAATAGTGCCTAAAATTGCCAAATTTGGGGCTCAGCCTTTCACTGTGGTGACTTCACTCAGTTCATGCTGTCCTCCAGGACTCTTCACGGCAGCTGGCCAGCTCACCCTGAGACCTGTTCAAGTTGTTAAGACTTCTCCCTTTCAAATGTCAATGATTAGTAGCTTGTTTTTCAAAGCCATTTTGTTAGTTCTATGCCTGGTGCATGATTTCTTTTTAAATAATTCATGTTTAATTACACAATACATGTGTTCTTTTTGTAAAAAACAAAAACTAAAAACTGACACTACCAGTGAGACTAGAAGTGACTTCTGCCTGCCATCCTCCTGCCTACCCTCCCCGTCCGTGTACTCTCCCCTCCAGGCAACCCTCTGTGCATGAATTGTGTGTCCTTCCAAACTTGTTTCCTGTGCATTTATTATATATATAGATGAGACCCTACAGAATCCAGTATATGTGTTTGTGTGAACATAAAGTTTCATATCTTACTTCCTGTGGTTTGCTTTTTTTGGTGGTGGTTATAAGGATACTGAGATCTCACATTATTCCAAATATTGAATGGCATTCCAAGTTAACAATAAACTAGCGTACTTAGCTGTTTTCTTATGAATGGGCACGTAGGTTTTCCCTATTGCTACTATAAACAACCTGTATGCAGGTATGTCTACTTGGTTGTCCAGCTAAAATATGAATCATGCTATGAATGAGGCTAGTGAGCTAGAAGAAAACTCTTAGCCAAGTGAACTTGGGTCACTGTTCAACATCGTCATCTCAACACAGCTTCAGCGATTTCAGCCTATCAAGTGTGAAATCTGGGTGAATTCTTATGAACAGGTCACTAAATTTCCCATTTTACTTTGCTGCATTTTATGAAGGCAGTATGCAATAAGGATGTGTATCTATATAAGATCTGTGAAAATATTGGCTTTATCTCCAGAGCTGTCAGGGGCAGCTGTGTGCGCCCAACCTTCCTCATTGAAGAACCACCAGAAATGTCCCTCTCAGGCATGCTCTTAGGGTGTGTTTTGAAAAGCTGGGCTCTGCTGAGCACTGTTGGACCGGCAGGCAGTCCTTCCTCCTCTGCCTTTCCTCTCTTGCTGTGCAGCAAGAACGATGAACTCCGAGGCCCCATGTCAGAGAGAGACCCTGGGGGAGGGCTAGACCGTGAATCCTGAAAAGCAGTTGACAGAACTTGTGCTCATCGTTCATGACTCCTCAGTCACTTCTTGGCAAAACTTTTTGTAACCACTTTACTGAGGTGTAATTTACATACCATTCACTTGCTTCTTTAGGGCTTTCTTGACAAGTAAAAATGGAGTTCATGATAATGCTTAGGTCCATTTTACTTTTTGTTTTCTACACAAAAGTATGCTGTGTACAAGAGAAACCTGAGGTATTGAATCCATTTTTTTAATGTATTTTCATTTTATTTTTATTATTTATTCATTTAAATTGACCGGTCAAGGGCAACCAAATCTCCCGTTTTATAAAACCTTATAGGAACAGCAATAGAGCAGATTCATTCTGAATGTGCATTTTGCAATAATATATAGGAAAAGCATTGGGTTCACTTTCTTTTCTTTTTTATCCTCATCTGAAGAGTGAGGATATTCTTCCACTGATTTTCAGAGTGGAAGGGAGGTCAGGGAGAGAGGAGAGGAGAAAAATCGATGTGAGAGAGAGACATCAATTGACTGCCTTCCATACATACCTGACTGGGGGTGGAGATCAAACCTGCAACCCACGCAGGTGCCCTTGACTAGGAACTGGACCTCTGGGGTACAGAATGATGCTCTAATCACTGAGCCATGCTAGGCAGGGCTGGATTAACTTTCTTAATAATCTGTCTTTTTTTTTTTCTTTTTGCACCTGGCATACTATAATCTATTTTTATACTCTATGACAGGTGATTCTACAAAGAAAAATCATAGAGCAAGAATCCAGTCGGCTCCTATATTTGAAACCCCACAGGTTCTGAATCTATAAATTCCAAATCCACGGATTCAATCAACCATACCTCAAAAATATGCTTAAAAAATTATGTTGTTGTTGACATGTACTATGTAGCTAGGACTATGATAATTGTGTCTGTACTGACTGTGTGCACTTTTTTGCGTCATTATTCCCTATATAATAAACAACTATTTATATGGCATTTAGATTGTATTCCATATTGTAAGTAATCTTGAGATGACATAACATAGGGGAGGATGTATATATATATATGTGCAACTCCTATGCCATTTTATATAAGGAACTTGGACAATTATGGATTTTGGTATCTGCAGGAACTCCTGGAACCAATACCCCACAGATACCAAGGGGTGACTGTACTTAACTATTGTATGTAAAACAGAAGTCACATTTAGTAACCCCTTTATTTTCAGTTACAAGAAAATGTTTGGTATCACTCTGTTTAAAATGTATTACAGGAGGAAGTCTAACAGGAGCTATATTTAATCCAGCTTTGGCACTTTCACTACATTTCAAGTGTTTTGATGAAGCATTCCTTCAATTTTTTATAGTATATTGGCTGGCTCCTTCTTTAGGTAAGCATGTTTTTATTTAATATGATTGAAAGATCAATTTATCTTGAAATATGATATGGAATGTCACTGTCACACATCAATTTCTAAAGCCAGAGAAGGCACACAAAAAAAATAAAAAGGATAGTTAACATGCCCGAAATAACAGTTTATCTTGTGCAGTATCTTTTAAAACTGTTTTTATCTTCAAAGAAACAAAATTATCTAGTTAAGGATAGTCAGTTACAGTATGATACCACTTAAAAAAAACTCTCAGATATGAGGGCAAAAAAAGTGCCCTCATATCTGAGAGCTTCATTAAAGGTAAATCTTCTCTAGTTTTGATTTTTAAGAAGTTAAAAATGTCACCAAAGTTAATTAAAAATGTATTGTTTTTTACTAAAGAAATTAGTTTTTTCAAACTTGTGAATTCCAGATAAAATATTAGTTCATTTGGCTCATGTTGCAGAAAAGCATTTCATAAAGCAATGTGTACCTATAATGAGCATAGTTTTAAAATCCACAAGATTCATTACTGTTACTTCTATTTAGATCAGAAGATATATAGAACTCTATACAGATGGGCCAAATAACAAAGAAAGTTAAAAAATAACTGTAGTTATAATATGCACTTCTTTATGTTATTGATCAGTCGTTTGTTTTAAGCTTGATTATAATTCATAACTATAAATGAGTGTGAGGATACCTGGCTTTCTATTAGTTCATCCCTATTTTTATCTATAGTTAGCAGTTTGTTTCTTGTTGCTTGGTTCCATTTTTTGTTTGTTTGTTTCTGTTTTAAGGGTACATTTAGAAGGGAACAATGGCACAGGTTTGACTAGTCCTCACACTTGACTCCTGCCATTTACCTCCCATTCTTTCATGTAGTATCTATTATGTTAATATGTAGGTCTAAACATGAAGAATGTCAGAGAAAACCTGCATTTTAAAATGCTAATATTGGTGCCCTTTTTTTTTAGTTCAGCAGATTGCTAATTTTCCAATAAAAGCTTTAAAGGTAAATCTTCTCTAGTTTTGATTTTTAAGAAGTTAAAAATGTCACCAAAGTTAATGAAGAAGTTCCAGACAAATGGGACATGTAGGTACTGGTTGGTTTTTCAGTGAGGAACAGGTTAGAGTAGAGTGCTCAAGTCACTGCCTTGAAAGGGAAGTCTCCAATAGTTAATGTGTTTTATCTTAACATCCTTAGGGCTAAAGCTCTAAGCCACTTGTAACTGAGAATAAGAATATTTGCCACATGCAGATTTGATATTATATTACCCTTATTTGGTAACAACAGGAAACCTTAAGGTTTAGCTAGCATTTGGATAGCTTAACATTTTTAAAAAGATGAGTCTGTTTTGCAACCAAAGGCTTGAAATGAAAACAATGTCAGAACAATCCTGTTACGATCCACCAAATCTGACATTTTCTTTATAAAGAAAATAAGACATTACATTGAAAACTTTTTCCTAAAATGGAATTCCCATTTCATATAAGCGAATGTAATTTGCTAATTTTTATTCTATGATAGGTATAAATTAGAGAAATAATTTTATATTATATAGAGTCTTATAGTCACAACATTTTAAATTCGTTTTGGGGAGATGGCAGAGAGCATTAAAGGAATTACAATATCTGCTATGAAGAGAAATAAGAACTCAAAATGAAGATTTACTATTATGTGATTTTTTTTTATATCTTTTAAAATTTCAGCATTAACCCAAATTTTGTTTTGGATATTTTGCTTGATACAGCTTTAAAAGCTATTAACGGTTAAGATTTGATGAGAAAATGAGGAGATAATCTAACATAGTGTTCTTTTTGATCATTCCAAGTGAAAACTCAAGAGTGCTTTCAGTTGTTTTATTTTCCCAGAACATCCTTAGGGCAGCAATTTTTCTTTCTTTTTTTCTAATCCTCATCTGAGGATGTGAACTCCTCTCCCTCCCCCCTCCCCCCATAGGTTTTGAGAGAGAGAGAGAGAGAAATCAATGTGAGAGAAACATTGATCGGCTGCCTCCCATATATGACCAAGGCCTTGACTGGAAATTGAACTAGCAACCTTTAGGTGTAAGGGGTGACACTCCAACTAACTGAGCTACCTAGCCAGGGCGAGGGCAGCAATTTTCAATGGGTATACTGCCGGGATTTTATAAAACATGCATTAATGACCATTTCCCTTAGGGTTGTCAAATGAAAAAACAAAAAACAACAACAGCTAACATAACTATAGACATCAGGTGTGGATGAAATCAAAATTATACCTATCTTTTCTGTCAGATTGGCAAAAAATGTATTTTTTGGTGTGCTGCAGAATTTTAGTAATTAGTTTATGTGTGCAATGAGATGAAAAATGTTGAAAATCACTACTCAAGAGTGTGATGATACCAGTTGCCATTTTAAAGAGCAAATGGAGACCCAAGTCCAGTTTCTTGCTCAGCAAGTCAGTAATGGAGTCAAAACTAGAATTCCCAACTATTTAGATTTAGTTTATCCTTTATGTTTAGATCTTACTGGTTTCACCAAGTACATATTGTTTTTAAGGGCTCATGATTGAAGAAAAATAATGTGAAACAGATTTAGAAACGATCTACATTTCACGTCGAATTGATGTAGCTAATTCTTTTAAACATTGCTTTCCAATCTCTAGATATATAATTGTACATATAATCTTAAATTATTCCTACTTGGTGATTATGAATTTCCTTAGAGATGTGTTTTTATTTTATTGTGCTTTATCTTTCAGGTATATTGTTGATGATTTTGACATTCAGCTTGTTTCTTCCATGGCTGTATAACAACCATACACCTAATAAGAAGGAATAATCTGTTCCAAAAGACTCAGACTAAGTCACAAGACAGTCCAGTTGGACGTGACAAAGACTTTGTCTCCTCAGATTCAGCACACTGGCTGCCCTGGACTCATCAATGGCATTTCCTTTGAGGAAGCTGCCTTAGTTTTCATCACTGGGACTTAAAAATTACAATGAAAAGGAGGCATCTGTATTTCTGTTAAGACTTGTTTTTTTGAGTGTGAATTAAATGCTTCTAGCTGAGACTTGCTACATTAACTATAAATCAAGTGATAATTGTTCATTTTGATGAGGAAAGAAAGAAGAAGAAAAAAAAAGAGTACTGGGTGGGAAGGGGAAGGAAGGTGATGGGAGGCCCAAAGGGAGTGTGTATATCAAGTGTCTCCGGAATGAACAGGATTTTAACCACAGCTCGAGTCACGCTTTCAGACCTGGAGGGGATCCTTTACAGCCAGCACCTCACACAATGATACCCAGTGTCATTTTTCAATAGGAAAGTTGCTTCTGGAAGCAGATTATATACCCACTCATATTCCCCGTGTTTCCTAAATTTTAAATATATTCTAACTAAAATATTATCTCTAAATAGAGCATCTCACTAGCTTTAGGCAAGTTTTTATCCTTTAATAGTATATAATGACACAAAGCACCCACACAAAGTCAAAATGTAACCTTTTCACACTCTCATTTGATCCTAATCAAAGTAGGTAGGGCATGTATTTTTAATCTGTTTTACAGATAAGGAAACTAAGTCTAGGGAGCCTGCTGCCCTGTCCAAGTTCAAATACAGTCAAACACCATCTTGAGGACGTCTACTTTAATACAAAAAAATAGTCTCAGTCATCAGTACGACTAAAGGAAAATTAAAGATTTTGAAGAAAACATTAAATATTTTATAAAAGCAATTTTTAAAAAATATATTTTTTTATTGATTTTTTACAGAGAGGAAGGGAGAGAGAGAGCTAGAAACGTCGATGAGAGAGAAGCATTGACTAGCTGCCTTCTGTATACCCCCTACCGGGGATGTGCCCGCAACCAAGGTACATGCTCCCGACCGGAATCGAACCCGGGACCTTTCAGTCCGCAGACCGACGCTCTACCACTGAGCCAAACCAGTTTCGGCTAAAAGCAAATTTTGTTTAGGAATTAACTAGCGCTTTTTTTTTTTTTTTGCCTTAAAGAACCTTCAAATCTTCCCCTATTTATTGTATGAGGTCTACTTTAATGAAAGTTCTGGCCATAAAAGGTTAGGTGTGTTTCTCTGCAAAGGCAATTTCATTATCAGAGTTAGAACTGAAGTAAAAAAACATGGGGTGAAATAAAATCTGTTTGCTTAATCAATTAAGCAAGTGACAAACTGCCAGGTACTTCAGGTGCTGCTTGGTGATCAGCTTGTAGACAGTCCCTGTTTACACCTGCCAACTGAACTGTGGCTGCAGGCCATCTGACAACCATGGACTCACAAATACACACCTTAGTAGTTTCTATTTTAAAGCAGAGTTCATAAAATTGTGACAATAGCTAAATTCAGTCTCTGTCATATTGTTGTGTTGTTAATCCTCACCCGAGGATCTCTTTCCATTGATTTTTAGAGAGAGTGGAAGGGAGAGGGTGAGACAGAGAGAAACATTAATGTGAGTTGGGGAGGGAGCCTGAAACCTAGGTACATGCTTCTGACAGAAATTTTACCCATGTCCCTTCAATCTGTGAGCCTATGCTTTATCCACTGAGCCAAACCAGGCAGGGCATGACATGCTTTATTTGGCCTGCACAGTATTTAAAAACAAAACGCTGGTATTTTAAGTCTTTTTCACATAAAAATCCAGTTTTCTCTTGCAAAATATCAAAATAGCTGGTAATACTAGACCTGAATTCTGCTCTCTATAAAAAACATGCCATCAGACATGACATCTGCTACCTGGGACTTCTTACTGCAATAATCTACTGTACAGTTCCAATTCCCCATTGTTCCTTTAAGAACTTAGTTCCTGTCTTACTCTCTACACTACTCCGGTATATTTCTGGTGATTTCAATGCCCAAACTGATGATGCCTTCAGTGTCTTGGCCTCTCATTATGTTGGCTGAACTGAAAGACTCAGTAATTTTGCCTATTCTGTCTCAGCTACGACTTTGGTCATAACCTTGAGTTTGTCATTAGCAATAATTCAGACTCTTCTATGATCTCAACACCCCACTCTTCAACACTAATATCTCTTTCCAGATTGAGGACCCTATTTCGAATGATACCTTGGCCTTCATGGGGAGTTTTTGTTTATTGCTACCACCCCCTTTTCACATCTCTCAAGTGTTCTCTTCTCCTTACACATCTTAAAATTACACATTTGCATACCATTTTAACTTCCTTGTTCCTTTATCTCTTTATCATACTCACATGGCTTAACCACAACTTGATTAAATCTATGTGCTTTTCCATGCCTATACCTGAACAGTTTTAGAGTTTTTCTGTAAAGGAAAGAAAATGTGGGCAGTTTCTTATGAAGGAGAAAACTGGGTCAAGAGTTGTGGGGGTTTTTTTAATGGGAAAGACATCAGCATGTTTATATGCTGATCAGAATGGTGCAGTAGAAAGAAAACAACTGATGATGCAGGAGAGGAAGGGGTCATTTAGTGAAGACAGAATCAAGTATACAACTGAAGGGATTGGCTTCAACCAGAGGCACAGACAGCTCCTTCATAGTTTCAGGAGAGAAAGTAATATATTGGCACAAGAAGAGTTAGGTAAGTAGGTTGTTGGTGAGAGTTTGAAGTTCTTCAATTTTCCTCTTCCCAATTTCTCTAAAAGCATTCTAATCAGGCCTTCAATCCCAACATTCCACTGAAACTTGCCAAGAATCTCCATGTTGTTAAATGGAACTCTCATCTTTCCTGCCTTTCAGTATTTGATACAATTGATTGCTGTCTCCTGAAAACACTTGTTCCAGAAAATAATTTTCTCAAGTTTCTTTAGTTAGTTCTTCCTCCTTTCCCCATACTACATGATAGTTTCCCAGGGCTCACTTCTCTGAGCTCTTTTCTATTTATACTTACTCCCCGGGTAATTTTATCCAGTCCCGTGGCCTTATAGCAGCAACTATATCCTATGACTGCCAAATTTCTGTATCTTCTACAACTCCAGACTCATATTCATCTGTATATATGGCATTTCTCTTCATCTAGTAACTCAAGTTGATACACACAGCTCTACTTAATTCAAATTGCATAGTTTATCCAATCTATTGATGGGGTATTCTAGTCATTCACTTTAAAAAATTTTTTAATTGACTTGAGAAACATTGATGTTGTTCCACTCATCCATGCATTCACTGGTTGCTTCTTATATGTGCCCCGAACAGAGATTGAACCTGAAACACTGGCGTATCAGGACAATGCTCTAACCAACTGAGCTTCGCAGACAGGGCCTGCTTATTCACTATTAAAACAGTGCTTCAAAAAGCTTCTTTGTGCACACCTCCTGTGCACATGTGCTTTTCCAGGAAGGCAGGCTTTCATAATGTCCATTATGGCCTCTTTTGGTCCAAGCCTCCACCTACTTCTTACTTCCCAGATTACTGCAGTATCTTCCTGTTTCTTCCATCTGATCGATCCTATCAACATATGACACAACTTCCTATTTCTGACATAATGCATGGATTCCTCCAGTTAACTTATAAAACTGTAGAAAATGGGTGGTACTTCATATTAATGTGTTGGGGAAAACTGCGTATGAACCAATGGGACTTTGGGTTATACTGACATCACTGCCCTATTTAGCAATTGTTTGTGAACTAGTTCACATTATTTAAAAAACATTCTATAACAAAACTGTATTTGAATGCTGGGGCTAGAATAACTACAATTTAAATAATCCTACATGGGAATAAATTTCCTTGCTTCTAAACAGCATACAAAATTCCACAACTTCTTGTGGAAATATATCTTAAATGCATTTTTATTGATTTCAGAGATGAAAGGAAAAGGAAAAAGAGATAGAAACATCAATGATGAGAGAGAACCATTGACAGGCTGCCTCCTGCATGCCCCCTACTGGGAATCAAACCTGGGACCCATCAATCCTAACCATTAGGGTTATTTAAATGGCTCACATATGGGCAGGAAATATCTATGCCTTTCTTTAAATTTGCTCTATATCAAGGAATAAAACAATTTTAGCAACCCTAAAATTAAACTCAAACAGACTCAAGTAATGTTGGCTTGCTGATAATTACGAATTTGACTTTTTAAAAGTCTAACCTAATCTCTTTCTCCCTCCTTCTCCTATTTTCTCCCATGGGTGCAACTGACTAGTATTACAGAATGTGACAGTTGACTCTTTGCATCTTGTCTGCCCCACCAGGAGATGCATGGCCTCCTACATCTTATTTGAGTATGTTATTCACTACTAAGCCGAGCACAGCAGTGCCTACAGGAAACACAATGCACAGAATCTTCTTGACATTTTGTTGGTATGTTATCAGAGCTCTTTATATTTCACTAAAAGTTAGGATCAAAAGTCTGTAAGCATGACTTTTAAAAAGGAACTCAAGCCTGGCTGGCGTGGCTCAGTGCTCGAGCAGCGACCTAGGATGTGATGGTTCAATTCCCGGTAAGGACACATGCCTGGGCTGTGAACTTGATCCCTGGTGTGGGGTGTGCAAGAGGCAGACAATCAATGATTCCCTCTCATCACTGATGTTTCTATCTCTCCGCCCCCCTTCCTCTCTGAAATCAATAAAAACGTATTTAAAAAGCGGGGGTGAGGGGGTATTAAAGGGTAACTCTCTCTCTAGAACACACCAGCATCTTTCCTCAAGTCAGTTTCCCTGGCCTCTTTCTCCTCAACTCCAAGGGCCCTTCTTTTGCCTCTGTAACTTTGTTTCTTGGGCCCCTTTCTTCTATGGCTCACTTCTACCTCTGACTTTCTAAAAAAATGTTTTTATTGAATAAGTTAATTAAGCTAAATGGTACCCGAATAGAATTTCTAAAATCAACCCATGCATAAGAATACCTTGACTGCTTACTGGATTGGATAAATGTCTAGGACAGAATGAGTGCTGCGGAGATTTATAGCAGTCCGTTTCCTTTCAGCTCCTGGTAGATGGTAAGGCTTAAAAACCCCAGCTCTCTCTCTCTGATATTAAGCGTTTACTTTGCCTCTCTATTAAACCATTTCCTCATCTCTAAAGTAGAGCAATAAAAACATCTCATATGTACTTTTGAAGAGTATATGCATAACGTATGCAAAGAACTCAGGACAATAGTTGGTACGAAGGTCTCAGTACATTTCAGTGTCCATTCCAATGGCCCTTTCACTTGCCTATTTTAACAAATTTGGTATTTTTGAGAGGGTCAGAAAAAGAAAAATTACTTTCCTTTCAGTCTACCATGCAGGATGAGAAAAACTAAGTGAAAATGTTGAAAATAAAATTAGGCTTAGTGGTGACAAAGTTTAATCACTAATTAGCCAAGTGCTTCTGAATAGCTTTTCTAACCTCATTTTTAAAGTCAAATAATGGTACTGAAGTTCAAGTATAAATCTGTAAATACAAACTGAGAGTTGGTAAATACGCTAGAAGAAATTACTCTAAATCAAGTGGAAGAAGCAGAAATTCCTTAAAATGTGTTAAATCCTTGCCCTACTAAATATCTGCCAGAAGCTTTAATGACACATTTTCTTATTCATTTCATGTTCATATTCTCAAAAGTCAAACAAAAATAAAAGACCAAAAAGATTCTCATTTTTGCCAACATTACATTAAAAAAAAAACACAAAAATTTCCCGTTAATGGTTTTAGTCAAGAATGAGAGTACAATCACATAGAAAACCTAGATTTATTTGTTATGCTATTACAAAGACAAAACAATTATCATGTGGAATACTTTGAGAACTTCATCCCAATTTCATGTGTCCTGCTACAGAAACTGAATGAAGAGGCTAGAAATTAAAGGATATAACAAAACCTAAGAAGCTTTATTAGAACAGACTGGTGAAACATGGTGAAAGGAGCAAAAGCTGGTCAGTGTTAGTATGTGTGGCTGGGATGCTTCCAAAAAGGCTCCCTAGAGATGCCTGAATGAATGAATCTGGGTCCCAATAGTAAAAAGACCCTGACCCCTGTGGAGAACGAGCAGACGCCAGATTCATCTGAGATCTTTGTCTTTCATTTTAGGGTAAGGGTGTTCCTGGGCCCTAAACGGTCTATCTTAGCTTCAGCCTCTCTTCCATCCCGTCCACCAACACCTAAGTGCCCGTGCATTTTCACCATATACCCCTGCTAGGTTACAGAAGATACATACACTGAAGGCAGGAATTACAGGCCTACTCAGAAGGTACCTGGACACAGAAGGTTTGGGGACAAAAGATAAACTACAAATACCCTCTTGGTTAAGTAAATTCACCTTGGTTAATAAAAGTCATAGTTTCCTCTGCTGGTGACAACTTGTTGTCTCATACAGTCTGTGCCAAGAAAGAACTGGTTGAGGAAGTTTTGGAGAAGGAAAAATAATTTCATCAACACCCACTCCACCGAGGAAAAGGCACCAAGTTCTCTCCTACAGTTATGAGTAAAATCTGAAAAACAAAAGGTTTACAGTGTTTGTAATAACAGCTGTTATTTATTGAGCACCTAGTCAAGAGTGCCACCAGACTTAGATATTACATCTCAGACTATGCAACAATCCTCCCATCATCCCCTTATTTTGCAGAAGAGGAAACTGAGGATTAGAGAAGTTACACGCCTTGCCCGAAGAGAGAGCCAGTATGTGGTAGGGCTGACATTCCACCATTCATGTGCCTTCTCCTTCACCCCATCTCATGTGTTGAGAGATGGGAGGTTCCACTGCCTTAAAAATTTTAATTGTTACATAAACACTCTAATTAATCCCTGCTCATTCCTTAAAGGCAAACACAACTTTAAGTGATTAAAAATATACAGATATTGTTTGGAATTCAGGTCAATTATCCACATGAAGAACTTGCATAAACTTGATGAATAAATTATCTCTTAGCTCCAGCTGTAGCATAAAATGAATAGAAAACAAATCACCTCATTAGAAAGTTTATTTCACCATAAAATTACATTACAAAGTATGCTACCAATTCTTTCCTAGGAACTGCAATGACATCCCATTTGTGCAACCATTAGTGACAGACCAAATGAGTTTCTCTAATCCTTATTAATGAGTGGTTGGTGTTTTCTAGTCTACTTTTCAGGAAGAAATATGTGAAAGACAGATCAAATAAATCTGTTTTCCATTTCCAATAAAAGATATAAAAAATATTACTGAATTGAAAAAACAACATGCTATAAAGAATATGATAAAGTATAAGACAAAAAGGAAGAATTAAATTTATACCAAAAGAGTTCCCATGAAATAAAATGCTTAAGTGAAACTATGAGATATGAAAATTAAAGTTAACAGAGCTCCAGCAATATGAATATAATTTTTTAGCTAACTGTAGAGGAGATATTGCTAATTTTAGACTGTATGGCTACCAATGACAGAAGTAAATGTTGCAGAAATAAAAATCACGTACTTAAAGAAAAAGAGAAGGACTGTAAGACAGTATTTTCTGATAGTTCACCTGGCAGCACCTGAGATGAAAGCATGGTAAGTGTAAGAAGTATTGGCAATAATTTGGAAGGTAAATGGAACTTGGATAATGGATCTCACAACCTAATTAGATGCCTGACAATAGCAGAAGAGTCAAGTTAAATATATATAAATCTTGCCATGCTATTGCTACCTGCTTTAATAAAATAAAGTCTCTATTTATTATAATAAATTATTAAAATAAAGCTGGACGTAAGTAGAATTTCAAAGATTGGAAGAAAGCCAGTATTCAAGAAAATGCTATCAAATCAGAGGCAGGACACTATAAAGAAGAGGGATAGTAACTTAATGTGAAAATCTTACAGCTTATAAGGAAGGGTTGCTAGGATTATTTGTCTTGGCTCTGTATGATATGAACTAGTTACATAAACTTTAACCTATTATATTAACTGCCATGCATCCACATCACAATATTTTGAATTTAATTTTAAAAAATCATCTGATTCTGGAGTTGAATAAAGGATGTCACTTCTTCCTGCGAGGTGCTTGGTTCGATTATTTTTTCATCTGATGCCATTAATGAGGAATGAATTTTATTTGCACAATATAATATATTACAATGATAAATTCAATAATTTTCAATTCTATGGAAATATCAACAAAAGCAAGTGCTAAATAAACTGTCGATATGAAAAGCCTCAAAAGACGAAATCTGTAAAAAAAAATAATGAAGAATGCACACCATATTTACCATTTTTGGCGTGAAATTCATAACACAAACAAATCTCAAGTACTCAAGTGTCACAGTGTTTATCTCGTGGTCTTAGTCTGCCATATATATACATATACATATATATATACATATACACACACACACACACACACACACACACACACACACACACATATATATATATATATATGAATTTTTTCCACATACGCTGGAATATTTACAAATTTAAGTTACCATAATTTTCTTTACAAACCCAGAGATGTCACCAACAAGTCTGATTTTAAAATTAGGCGACAAGAGTTTTGCTATGCAAAGTTTATATCTATAGTCACTTATGGTGTACAGAGGGTTATTATCTAACATTTAATTGCGATGTTCAAGCTTGCTCAGGACAACTGATTTCTCAGAGTACCATGTAGCAAATAAACAAGAACAAAATGCAGACGAAGCTCATGAAAAGAACAGAGGGCAGAAAACTGGCAGTGAGCTCTTGTATTAGTCAGGAAAAGCAGGTAAGAAACAATTGGAAAATGATAGCTTTTGGACAACTGTACATGGACTCGTTATGCTTTGGCAAACCAACCTTGAACAGTCAGGTGCCCAGGACCTAGGCCCACCATTATTTTCAGAAGTAGAGAAACCAACACAAGATTATGAATAGAAGCTTAATGAAGTTTGAAATTACTTCTACTTCCTCCCTGATTTGAACAGCAGTGAGTTGTAGCAAATCTCTGCTTTGTGTTTTCTGAAGAAAATGTTAAGGTTTCGCCCTAACTGGTTTGGCTTGGTGAATGGAGCGCAGTCCTGTGGACTGAGGGGTCCCAGGTTTGATTCTGGTCAGGGGCACGTACCTTGGTTGTGGGCACATCCCCAGTTGTGGGTGTGCAGGAGGCAGCTGATCGATGTTTCTCATTGATGTTTCTGGCTTTCTATCCCTCTCCCTTCCTCTCCATTAAAAAAAAAAAAAAAAAAAAAAAAAGGCAATAAAATATATTTGAAAAGAAAATGTTAAGGTTTCAAGTCACAAATGGGGAAAGGTGACTCACGAGCAGACCAGGACATGATCTCAGGCTTTGCAGCTCCCACCTGAGCCAGCCAGGAGCACTACGTTTTTGAAAAAAGGGCTAATGTCATTCTCCTCAGTTCACTGAAGACAGGTGTGTCTTAATCTTCCATATACTCTCAGTGCCTGGCATGCGTTAAATGCTCAGTAATTGTTAATTAACCTGAACATCACCATGCTTGTAGACCTTGATTTCTTAGAGAAAACGCCACACACATAATTTTCAATAATGTCAGAAATGGATTACTTTTTTCCAAACTGCTCATTTTATACAATCCTCCTGAATTATGAAAATAAAAATTAATTATTAGACAGGATTTTCATGTTCAGTGACAAGGGAAAAACAAACTACTTACCCCAAAGCAACATAAAATCATTTTCAGTGATCAACATCTGCATCCTCAAACTGTCCAGCAACCGTGGGTGTAGCGTCTACCTCCATCCCATCTGAAGAAACAAAACTGACTGCTGAACAAAGTCTTCAGAGCACTTTAAACATGTAAAGATTCAGCTTATACTTTGACCAGAAAGAAGCTAGTGCCCTCTGTTGGTAAGAGTTCCCATTTTTTTCTATTTTGAAAATTCAAGTACTATAAAGGAACACAATGAGAACGAAAAATGCCATCTGTGGATTTAGGCCAAGGTAAAATGAGTTAAAACACTTTAACATTTACTTTGTAAATTCTCAGTCTCAACACTAACATAAGGTAGGAACTTGCAAATGCAGTTACAATTGTTCACTCTTCACAGAACTGTGTTAGGTAAGGATTTCTTTCTTTCTTTCTTTCTTTTTAAATATATTTTGATTTTTACAGAGAGGAAGGGAGAGAGATAGAGAGCTAGAAACGTCGATGAGAGAGAAACATCGACCAGCTGCCTCTTGCACACCCCCTACCGGTGATATGCCCACAACCAATGTACATGCCCCTGACTCGAATCGAACCTGGGACCTTTCAGTTCGCAGACTGACGCTTTACCACTGAGCCAAACAGATTTCGGCTAGGTAGGGATTTCTGTGCAACTTTTTTTTTTCCCCCCTCAAGTATCAAGTCCTATCTTCACAGAACTTTGACATAATTCAGAAGGAAAAAAAACAAAAAACAAAGTAAAGCAAGGTTCTCACTTTTCCTATTTATCTCATCTTATTTTTTTAAAAGGGGGAGGTTAGGACTGTGGTCGGCAAACTGCGGCTCAAGAGCCCTTGAGTGTGGCTCTTCCACAAAATACCATGCCTGGGTGAGTCTATTTTGAAGAAGTGGCATTAGAAGAAGTTTAAGTTTAAGAAATTTGGCTCTCAAAAGAAATTTCAATGGTTGTACTGTTTATATTTGGCTCTGGTGACTAATGAATTTGCCAACCACTGGATTAGGACAAGTAAAACCCCCATCACATCTCTAACTTCTATTGCTTCTATCTTTTAAATATCTTCCAAATCTGTTTTGTTTTTGTTTTTGTTTTTTTGACATTCAGTGCTACTACCTAATTTGAGTCACTATCTCTCATCTAATTTAAGACTTAGGTTACTTAACAGGGTTTCTCTTCTTTTCTCCAGTATTTTCCTCTGCAACTAATTTTCCATAGCATAGCCAGAGAAACACTAATCAAAGTGTTCCTTGGCTTCCCACCGACCTAAGCATAAAATTTAAATTCTTTAACAGAGCTTCAAGTTCCTTCTTTATCTGTTGCTATAACTACCCTTCACTCTCAGAGTTGCAGACATAAGTTTCAGTTCTCAACTAGCACATAGATGACCCCTTTACTGCCTACCTAACCTTCATGCAATCCCTCTTCACCAGGGTCATCATTATTCATCTTTCAGGTCATGGTTTAGATGTCACTTATGTTGTTTGATTCTCTCCCTTGACTATCCAGGCTGGATGAAGAGTCCAGCCTCTGACACTGCAGCTATTCAAGCTTCCCCTGTATCTCAACACTATACCACCATGAAATGTAACTAAAAATAAGACCTAGCACAACTTTGGGAGAAAAAATTAATATAAGACACTGTCTTATTTTGGGGGAAACAGGGTAGCTAATAAGTGATGAGAGGATTAAATGAGCTAATATGCAAAAATAATATACCAAGCACTGTTATAAGCACTTCTTGAATCTTGTATGTGTTTAACATCCTAATATAGGATCTGTAACGACTGAACACCAGAAGTCAGTCCTGCAGTCACTTTTTTTCAGGGGATGTCTTATCTTTCCAGGTGCTAGGTCTTATTTTCGGAGGATGTCTTATTTTTGGGGAAACACGGTATTAGAGGACCGATGCACGAAATTTGTGCAAGGTGCTCGGCCCTGGCAGCCCCAGCTGCTGCCACCCTCTGCAGGACAATAGATGTGGGGCAGCCCTACCCCACCCACTGGTTATTCCGGAAGGTTGTTCTGCACATCTCCAGTAGAGGGTGTGCAGGAGGCAGCTGATCGATGTTTCTCTCTCATCGATGTTTCTAACTCTCTATCACTCTCCCTTCCTCTCTGTGAAAAATCAATAATATATATATATACACACACACACAATTTTAAGAATCTAATTTAATTAGGATATTTAGAAAAGAGAACCCAACTAAAACATAAATATTTTAAAGCCACTTATTTAAGGCTCAGATGTTGGTCACAAAAAGAGAACCCAAGTTTCTTGCTGCCTCAGCCTTTAAATCAATTGACTATACTAGTTTTGCATATCATCATGTAGGAATTCATTTTAAAACTAAAAATAGCAACATAATGCACGCATACACACAATATACACACAAGCAAACAAAAAGATAGGAAAGATATGCAACAGAAATTTTATAGATGTTTTCAATTAGAATTATACTTGATTTTTTATTTCTCCTTTGCCTGTGCTCCCCCCTCCCCCCTTTTTTAATTTGACTGCTTATAGACTATTTTTGTAGTTAGGAAAAAAGTTTTAAGAAATTTACACAAGTATTCTCATTCTATGTAATTCTACATTTGCTTCCTACACTATAAAGTTAATTCTGAGATTTCTCTTAGTTTCCAAAAGAACTTGGATATGGCCCGGCTGTGTAGCTCAGTGGTTGAGCACTGACCCAGGAACCAAGAGGTCGCCAGTTCAATCCCCAGCAAGGGCATATGCCCAGATTTCAGGTTCGATCCCCAGTAGGGATGTTTTTACTTCTCTATCCCTTACCCTTCCTCTAAAAGGAAAATCGATAAAAAAATAAAAATAAAAAAACGATATATGTCTCTCCATAGCTGACCTTGTTGCCTAAATGAATATCTGTTCAAACTGATAGAAAGCAGGATACTTACCTTCATAATCTCTTATTGAATCTTCTGTCCGGACTCCAGCCATGTTATACTGGCTGCTCACAGACTGAGAAAGCATTCCTTCTAATCTCTCCAATGTGGCCTGGCCTTCGGCTGTTAAGTGGGACAATCCTTCTTCATAGGTGTAAAATGTAGGGATGTCCCCCTGCCCTTGTTCTAAGCAAAGAAAAGACTTTTTAGCTATTCTAACACCATGAGGAGAAAAATAAGTACTCAACAATGCATTTACTAAAGACAAGGCACAGTGAAAAAAGGCTTCCAGGAAAATATTTTTCAATATCATTTAACATTCACATACAGACCATCTATTGGAAAACAGATAAAGAAAGTGCCCCTCTAGAATGAGAAGGGATTATAAGAGAGAGTGAGTCAGGAAATAGCAATTCCCAAAGAATCAAATGCCAGGGACTAGAAGGAAGAGGGTGCTCCTGAGGCCAGATGGTCTTATATTATTTAAAGGTAGAAAATACATAGATGAGTGTAAATTAATTTGCCATTAATTGGTACTCAAGGTTTTTTCATTAGATGCTCCTTTTAAAAGATCAGAAATTCTGGAAAATGCAAAAAAGATTTTAAAAAAGCATAAAAAAATTCTTAACTAAGATGAGGATGTGTTAATATATACAAAAGAAAATGCTAGAATTAGCTCTGGCTGGTTTGGCTCAGTGGATAGAGAGCTGGCTCGCGGACTGAAGGGTCCCAGGTTCGATTCTGGTCAAGGGCATGTACCTTAGTTGTGGGCACAATCCCAGTGGGAGATGTGTGGGAGGCAACTGATTGGTGTTTCTCTCTCATTGATGTTTCTAACTCTCTCTCCCTTCCTCTCTGTAGAAAATCAATAAAAATATATCTAAAGAAAAGAAAATGCCAGAATTAGCTTGTCTCAGGCCAAGAAGTGGACATTCATGGAGGAAAGGGTTTTGCATAGCCAGACTGATGCACAGGTCAAGACCATGGGGAAAAGAAAAGAGAATAGCAGGCATCTCGAGTCACAAGACTCTCTCTACCAAACTACTAACTGGATTCTGATCAGAGGAAGGGGAAATACCCTTAAATAAATAAGGTCTGGGAAAAATAAATAACTTTGGCAGTGAGCTATCTAAAGGCAGTTCTTCAAGAAAAATGTAGATACAGGTTTTAAGTGATAAAGGAAGAAGTTTTATTCTCTGGTAGCAGCTACATCAACTTAAAAAGACTCTCCTAACTACCCACTTTCCTAGCTACCATTTTCTTTCCTTCCATTGATCTCTTTCCATTTTTCCCTTCACCTCCTAATAATCTCTATTTTTTTCCATCTACCTTGGAAAGCCCATAAATTTTCCCATTTTGGCATAGACATGAATTATGCATTCACTTTCATTATAATAGAGTCATATTATATAGGAATTTATCAGAGATATAATGATTTATGGCTTGGTCAACATAGCTCAGTGGTTGAGCATCAACCAGGAGGTCACAGTTTAATTCCCATTAGGTGCTTGATCCCCAGTGTGGGACATGCAGGAGGCAGCTGATCAATGGTTCTCTTTCATCATTGATGTTTCTCTCTCTCCCTCTCCCTTACTCTCTGAAATCAATAAAAATACATTTTTAAAAAATCTATAATCCTACCCTTTACTACAAATAAATGCTTAAAATGAAAGACACAAACACTTTTAAAAAATTCATTTCACTAACCATGTGCTTCCACATCATATTCTTCTCCATCGTAATCATCTGAATCTTCATCCTCGGGATCTGGATGCAAAGCCTGGCATTCACACATTGCAGTGAACATTGCCTCCACTGAACAAGAAAATTAAATTATAATTAATATTCCTTCCTGGCCAATGTGCAATTAGAATTTAATTAAATAACCATCAGTGCAAATAAATTTAATGGGTAAACAAGAGATATACTAGGTCACAATATTCACAAAACCTGCCAAATTTAAGTTGAATCAATCTTGAAAAGTGCTTCATGGCAGCGAATATGTCACAAAATAATAAAAGTTCATTTCAGGATATTATTGAGATCTCTTCATGCCTGGTTGGACTTTCTGAGGAAAAGAGTCAGAGAATCCTGGTCAAACTGCTACCCTGTTTCCCCGAAAATAAGACAGTGTCTTATATTAATTTTTTCTCCCAAAGTTGCGCTAGGTCTTAATTTCGGAGGATGTCTTATTTTCGGGAAAACACGGTAGTACCAGAGTGAAGCCCCTCACGGTTGAAAGGACTTACCCTGACATCTTCCATTTTGGAACTGCCATGACTCCTCTGCCCTCTATCTGGTAAAATTCAGTCATAAAATGTTTCAAAGTTTATAAAAATAACCAGATCCCTCCATTCACAAAGCACACGAAAGAATATGCTGTTTACTATACATTCACTCACTGTCTGTCTTATTCCCATTCTGTGTTGTACATTTGCTTCTTATACTATAAAGTTAATTCACTATCTTTGTTATAATGACTGTACAGATATCTGATTCTCAATATTATAGATGCTAAAATGAAGAAAAAGCAGAACAGAGGTAATGGGGGTAAAAGTAAAAGTGTGTGTGTCAATGGGGAATACCTTATATGTAAGAAGAAAAGAATCAATTCTATAAACACTCACATGCTGATTTATCACCAGGCACAAATCTAAATTCAGCAATAGGTTCAACATCATCATCACTGTCTTCCTCTTCTTCATCAGAAACAGATTCTTTTGATTCTTCTAGAAAGGGAATAAAAATAACTTTTTTATGATATTACTCGTTTTGGAAAAAAGCCTAAAAGAATTTCTTAAAAGGATGCTTATTGGTCTATCTAAATACTGAAATTTCAATTTTTACTTCAAATTACAAGAACACATTATTTTAGAGCTAAAAAAGTCTCTGGGATAGTCTCTCTGGTCTAGTTACCCTGTACTTCACTGAGCCCTAGGAATTTCAAGTCCCCACAGGGGGTAGGAAACTCAAACAGTCAGGCCTCTAATAAGTACAGTTTCCCAATGTCATCAAAAAAACCCACAGATGAGAAATCAAAGCCCAAAAAAGTTAACTAATCCAACAGATAAATTAAAGTCTGAAAGCAAGAAGAAATACAGACTGTACACACGCTGCTGGTGGAAGTGGAAATTGCTACCACCACTCTGGAAATGCTATTACCCAGCAATTCCTAGTCTAAATACATACTATATGCACAAGAAGTTTGTACATAAATGTATTTTTATTAAAGTATTATATGTTGGCCTGGCCAGTGTAGCTCAGTGGTTGAGCACTGACCTATGAACTAGGAGGAGGTCAAGGTTCGATTCCCGGTCAGGGCACTTAGGCTTGATACCCCCAGTGTGGAATATGCAGAAGGCAGCTGATTAATGACTCTCTCTCATCACTGATGTTTCTCTCTCTCTCTCTCTTCATTCCTCTCTGAAATCAATTTAAAAAATAAAATGTGATTTACATGTATCAAAATATATTTTAAAAGATAAATCATCCAACAACTATACTGTATACCTAAAACTAATACAAAATAATGTTGAATGTAAACTATAATTGAAAAGTAAAATTTTAAAAATAATTTAAAAAGCCCTGGCTGGTATGGCTCAGTTGCTTGGAGTATTGTCCTGTACACCAAAAGGTGACGGGTTCAATTCCCAGTTGGAGCACATACGAGAGGCTACCAATTGATGTTTCTCTCTCTCACTTGGTCCCTTCCACTCTCTAAAATCAATAAAAAGCATATCTCAAGTAAGAAAAAATAATAATATAAAAAATAAAAATATATGTGAAAAAGGTAGTTGCAGAATATACATAATGCCACTTACATTAAAACTTTAAACATAAAACTAAATCATTATACTGCTTATAGGTATATATTCAGTAAAAATCTAAAAGCATAGACAGGAAGGACACATGCCATCGTTAGAACAATACTTAATTCCAGAGACAGAGAGTAAGGAATGAAATGGGAAAGGATACAAAAAGGATTTCAACAGTATTCATGTACTTTTCTTTATTAGAAAGACTAGAATAACTATGAAAACTGTTATAATTTATGCTGGATATTAAATAATGAAAAATTTATTACTCTGTGAACTTTTTAATGTTTTAATTACTTCATTAGGGGAAAAAAGTTAACAAAATACTTAAATAGACTCCCAAAACATAAAACATGTTTAAAACCAATAATATTCTTCATGCAGATGAAGATAAGGTAAAAAGGTATTCTTATATACTGTTATTCAAACTTATTGATATAAGCTTTCTGGAAAGCAATTTGATAATTTTGAGAGCTTTAAAAATGTTTATTACCTTTAATGTAATAATTCTACTCATAGGAATCAATCATAGAAAGATATCTACTAAATTTTTTAAACTTAATTTTATAAGTCATACAAGCTTACTGTATAATGGAAAAAAAAAAGATAAGCAGAAAGGGGAAAATATTTAAATGGCCACTATTAACTGTTTTTAAATAACCAATTAAATAGGACTTTTTCTGCCCGGTTTCTGTTATTATATTGTTAAATATAACATACATATCCTCCATAAACAACTTAAAACAATACAAAACATCAGAGAACTTTAAATAATTATAGAAAGTACTACCAAACATTTCAATGCATTTTAAAAAACAAAATGAGCCCTGGCTGGTGTGGCTGGTCGGTTAGAGCGTTGTCCCGTACACCGAAGAGTGGTGGGTCCATTGCTGGTGGGGCACATACCCGGGCTGTGGATTCAATTCCCGGTCAGGGCGCCGTGTGCAGGAGGCGGCCGATCGACGTTTCCCTCTCACATCAATGTTTCTCTCTCTCTTTCTCTCTCTCCCTGCCTCTCTCTAAAATAAATAAAAAGCACATCCTTGGGTGAGGAAGAAAAATGATATCACACTGTAATTATTATTCTATAACTGAATTAACATTTTTTAACTTGTAAAAACAATACATGCTGGTAATAAGATAATTGAAAGAGTCTAGCTAGATGGCACAAACCTAGTTCTCTCCCTAGAAAAAAATACTATTAAGTTTCTTTTATACAGGGACGGGCAAAAGTAGGTTTACAGTCATAATACAGATAATACAATCATTAATAAATAGTAACACAAGAATAAACTCTGTGTTTTACATAAATCATAACTGTAAACCCATTTTTCCAACCCCGTATCCTTAGGAATCTACCTTAGGGCAATAAATAGAAATGTAATAAAGTATTTTTACAAACAATGACCATGACCAACACTCATCAGTGGCTGCTACACTTGCAGTCTTTTTGAATATCTCTCAATTTACGACAGTGGCAATGAAGCTTTAGTTACTTTAAAAGTCATCTAATGTCCTTAACAATGATCTGATGGTCCACCTTAAAAAGGTTTATGGAGGCTCTGGTCTAACAGCACAGTTGGTTAGAGCATTGTCCAAAGGTTGTGGGTTCTATCCCCAGTTAGGGCACATACAAGAATCAACCAATGAATGCATAAATAAGTGGAACAAATAATCAATGTTTCTCCTTTCCTTTCTCTCTAAAATCAATCAATTAAAAAAATAATTTAATTAACCATTTGTTAAAAATAAACTGGATATGGAGGTAAGCCAAAGAGAAAAAGAGTCTGGAGCTTAGAGAATCAGGATGAAAGGAACAAAATTTGGGGAAATAGGATCCAAGCATGTGAAATTTATGAGAAGAGTGGAGTTCCAGAAAAGAACTGGAGAATCACTGAAATAAATGTAATCCAAGGAAGATAGAAAAGTCCTAATTCCATCAATTTCAAGAAAATTATTATAGCCCAGCCAACATAGCTCAGTGGTTGAACACCGACCTATGAACCAGGAGGTCATGGTTTGATTCGTGATCAGGGCCCAAGGCCAGGTTGCCGGCTTGAACCCCAGTATGGGATGAGCAGGAGGCAACAAATTAATGATTCTCTCTCATCATTGATGTTTTTATCTCTCCCTCTCTCTTCCAATAAAAAGATATTTTAAAAGAAAAGAAAATAATTACAGAGCAAATACTTAAAATGGCTACACCGCTCCTAGCCTTTTTGCTCAGTAGATAGAGCATCGGCCCGCGGACTGAAGAATCCTGGGTTTGATTCTGGTCAAGAGCACACGCCCAGCCTGATCCCTAGTGGAAAGCACAGGCGGCAACAAATCAATGATTCTCTCATCATTGATGTCTCTCTTTTCCTCTCCCTTCTTCTCTGAAACCAATTATATATACAGAAAAGAAAAAAGCCTACACCAGGCCTATTGAATCCTTTTTTCCTAGTTTGGGACTCCCAACATTTGCTTTTAACAAGAGTCCCAGGTTTCTAATGTGCAGCCAGGTTTAAGATCTAATGAGTACTACAATCTCCGGATTTTTCTGAATAAAATTTGGGTGCAAAGCCCTCACCGGTTCGGCTCAGTGGATAGAGCAGGTGGCCAGCAGATAGAAGGGTCCCGGGTTTGATTCTGGCTAGGGCATATACCTAGGTTACAGGCTCCTCCCCAGCCCAGGCCCTGTCTGGACTTTTGTGGGAGACAATCAATCGATGTGTTTCTCTCACTTGGATATTTCTGTCTCTCCCTTTCTCTTCCACTCTCTCTAAAAATCAATGGAAAAATATCCTCAGGTGAGGATTTAAAAAGTAAACAAATTAGCCCTAACCGGTTTGGCTCAGTGGATAGAGCGTTGGCCTGCAGACTGAAAGGTCCCAGGTTCGATTCCAGTCTAGGGCATGTACCTCAGTTGAGGGCACATTCCCAGTAGGAGGTGAGCATGAGGCAGCTTATCAATGTTTCTCTCTCATCGATGTCTCTAACACTCTATTTCTCTCCCTTCCTCTCTGTAAAAAATCAATAAAATGTATTTTTTTAAAAAGTAAACAATTTAAAAATAAAACAGGAAATTAGCGTGCAGAAATGATGATTTGCCTAACAAATTAATCAATCTTTTTATTGTGTGCTTTTCTCTTTATCTAGTTTTATTCAAGCTAGATTTATTTGAACCCTACCTCTTCAACCTTATTTTTTGCCTTTGACCAATGGCAGTGGTCTACATTATTTATGGGCATTTCACATTAGCATTTGAAATTGACTGACAAAGGTACCTCTAAGGATTCCCATTTCTATGAATGAATGAATGCCTTTAAACTAAATATGATACAAAGTACTCTTGGTTATGAAATTACAGTTGCATTTACTTAGATGGAAAGTAAACTTTGTGTCAATACCTCATTTGGAAGTCTTACTATGACCCAAGGTCAAAGGCTTTTCCTTTTCCTTACCCTTTCTTTTAGACTCGACTAGATCTTTTAATCTATCTTTGGGCCCTTTCCAATGGTAATGAAGTCTTGTAACAAAAATATTCTCAAATAGCTGAATCAGTCATTACCATTTAATGAGGCAGAACATGCCAAATGCCCTAAAAATTAATAATTGGTGTCACACTGAATATAAATAATTTTTAAAAATATATTTCTTTATTGATTTCAGAGAGGAAGGGAGAGGGATAGAGAGATAAAAACATCAATGATGAGAGAGAATCATTGATCGGCTGCCTCCTGCACACCCTCTATTGGGGATTGAGCCTGGGCATGTGCCCTTGGCCGGAATCGAACCTGGGACCCTTCAGTCTGCAGGCCTATGCTCTATCCACTGAGTCAACCAGCTAGGGCCAAATATAAATGGTCATCTTATATCAGGAATTATATTAAAATCCCAAATTGAAGGAGCAATAGCTCACTAGGCAAACTTATGGGATTGTCTTTTGTACGCTATTTCAAAGAAAAGCAGCACCCATTATTTAAAAGCAAGTTTACTAAAGGTTTTACAAATGTCCTTTAATCCCAAAGCTCTATACTTCCACATAAAAAAATGAACATATTAAATTAACACAATATAGTATACCCACATCTTACTTTTTATCTTGTGCCTAACTTGTTTCTCATTGATAATTCCAATTTTTTTAATTGATTTTCTTTTTTTGAGAGAGGATGTGATAGAGGGAGAGAAACACGTTGATTCGTTGTCCCACTTAGTCATGCATTCATTGGTTGCTTCCTGTATGTGACCTGACCAGAGATCATACCTGCAACCTTGGCTTATCGGGACTACACACTAGCCAACTGTGCTACCTCTTCAGAGCTCACTCAGAATTCTTATAACCCATAGTTTACAGCCTAAAAATTGATTTTTTAATCTTTCTTATTTCATCTTTTATCAACCTCACTAGATTTTTATGAATCCTGGAAGTTATCTTCAATAGCAAAATTTGGGAATCTTATATTGCATGGTTTCTCAATCCTGACACTATTGACATTTGACCTGGATAATTCTTTGATGTGGAAGGCTATCTTTTGCATTGTAGGATGTTTTGCAGCATCCATGCTCTCTAACTTCTAGATGCCAGTAGCTCTACTCCTCACTCCAGTCATGGTATCAAAATGTCACTGCTAAGTGTAGGGGGAGGGCAACATCATCCCCACTGATAATGAAGCAAAACAAATCAGGTTCTATCATAAACTCTTGGAAGCACAAAATATACTGATCCAAACTTGTAAGGGTGCCAAATATAAATGCCTTTATAGAGAGAAAGAAAATAAACAGTTAAACCCACGAGGAAAAATTAGAACTATAAACCCGTAATAACTGAACAATTCTAAATGCAAATATATATAAAAAGGGCAATGTTCAACTTATTTTACTGTGCTGAAATTTTGCTTAAGAAACTATTATCCAAAATCGGCCAATGGCTTGAACATTACATTGATTATGATCAAAGACTGCTTTTACATTGATTATGATCAAAGACTGCTTTTAAATATGTAATATTTTACCAAAGCCAGCCCAAGATTACCTCAGCCCTGGCCTGGTAGCTCAGTTGTTTAGAGCATTGTCCTGACATGCCTAGGTTGCAAGTTCAATCCCAGTAAGGGAATATTCAAGGAGCAACCAATGAATGCATAAATAAGTAGAACAACAAATCAATTTCCCTCTCTCTTCCCCCTCCCCAAATCAATAAATAAAAATAAAAAATATAAGATTAAATTACCATACATACCTTCAAATTTGGCATTCACCATAACATATAAATGCTCTCGTGGATAGGCATTTAGGTCCCTGGACACTGCATGCAAACTAATGGTGGGGTATTCCAGTGAGAATCCCAATCCAGAGCCATCTAACCAAGACAGGCGGCTGAAAAACATGTTTTAAGTAGATTATTTCAAGCAATTAAATCCTAATTTAACCTCCTGATATTTATAAACGTTCAGCTTAGACATTTTTATGCATAATAGTATCAAGCTTACTATTTAAAAATAATCCTAAAATAAGAAAATTCAGTAGCAGGAATTAAATTTCTTTAAGACCAATTCTGCTATTGTCTCTTTTTCTCCAGCTAATAATTCAGGTATATTAGAAATGCAATTTTTCGCCGAAACCGGTTTGGCTCAGCGGTAGAGTCCCAGGTTCGAATCCAGTCAAGGGCATGTACATTGGTTGCGGGCACATCCCCAGTGGGGGGTGTGCAAGAAGCAGCTGATCAATGTTTCTCTCTCATCGATGTTTCTAGCTATCTCTCTCCCTTCCTCTCTGTAAGAAAATCAATTAATATATATAAAGAAATGCAATTTTTCTTAATTCACATATGTGTTTCTATGCCTCTTATGCTTGCTCTTATTTGGAAGGTCTTCAGGTACCTTCTTTGCTTTTGCAAATCATCTTCATCTGGTAAAGTCCCAGCTCCTCCTTGAGTCTTCCCTCCAATTACTTGAGTCTATAATGATTTCTTCCTTTTCTAAATTGCACTTATGCCCAGTAATATACCATTTAGCATTTAACTTTATGATAATGAGTCTGGTATATACCCTCACCCGAATGTGAGCTACCAGAGAAACTGTCATATTCTTTATATAATGTTCTTCAAAACCACTAACCCAGTAAGTATGAAATAAATACTTGGGAATCACTCATTTCTCCACTAATCCTACATTAAATGAAATATACATGAAATGGCTGTAATCATACTTACCACAAGTTATAAAATAATTACCACACTGAAAGACTTTATTAAGATTTTCATTTACTTTGCAGCTTTAAAGGAAAGCCACAGATAAGCAAGGTATAGTTTTAAGCAAGCTCAAAAGGAGTCAAATGCAAATATTTTATTGATATAGAAAGGAAACATAGTCCTAGCTGGTTTGGCTCCGTAGATAGAGCACAGGCCCACAGACCGAAGGGTCCAAAGTTTGACTCTGGTCAAGGGCACATGCTCAGATTGTGGGCTTGATCCCCAGTAGGGGTCGTGCAGGAGGCAGCGAATTAATGATTCTTTCTCATCATTGATGTTTCTATCTCTCCTCTCCTTTCCACTCAGAAATAAATAAAAATATCTTTAAAAAAAAAAAAGAAGAAAAGAAAAGCTAATGCAATATAGTGGTTACAAAGGGCTAGAGGGAAACAGAGTGGCTGCTAATGGATGTTGACTTCTTTAGGAGAAAATAAAAATATTCTAAAATTGATTGTAACAATGGTTACCCAACTCTGTATATTGATTAAAAACCACTTAATTGTATACTTTAAATGTATAATGATGAATTGTCAAATGAATTACAGTATCTCAATAAAGTTGTTACTTTAAAAAGAAGTTAATACAATATAACCCCTGTATCATTCTATTTTCTATACAATTTTAACAAATCTAATTTATAACCAAGCAAAAAACAGACACAGTAAGAAAAGCTAGGCTTCCCTTGGCAGTAACAATGACAGTGCAGCAGTCAGCTCATTCACAGTCAATGTATGGAGAGGTTAAACACATATGTCAGTGCCTCTAAAGGAAATCGATGTTTAACAGCGTAAGTGTATAACACATGATGATACTTATCAAAACTTAGGGGAGAATTAGATTGTGATAAAAATTGTACAACTCTGAGTATACTAAAATCTAATAAATTGTATACTTAGTAAAGCAAAAACAAAAAACGTGCATACTATAATTTGCAAAGATTTTCACTGAACATGCTTATTAAAAAAGAAAATGTGGGAGGCTTAAAGGAATCAACCTTAAGGAGCTTAAAGTGGTAAAAGCTCTAGAACTGATTTTTCAGAATGACATCCCATTAGTCCTAAGGAAATGGATTTTATTATTGCAATTAGACTGTGCATGCTACATGTGCCTTTCCTGGCCACCGCATTCATCTTACTGTGGGAAGGAAATAGTGGTCACATGTCACGAAAGTATAGCCAGTCCCTTACTAAAAGTATTATTATTTTAAGCAAACACTTTAAAAGCAGCATTCCAAATGTGGGTGTCCAAAATTTCAAATATCCAGAGCCATAAAACTTAATGACTCATTCATTATAAAGATGGAAAAACTGAAATACTCTAAACAGACTCAGTGCCTACCAAATTATGGCCTTGACTTTAAAAAGCACATCATAATTGCTCTGTAGTTCCCTTCTGTTAGCAGGACACAAATGCTGCCTCAGCGGAGCATCTCTCAGAGAGCTCTTATAATTTTATACATAAGCAAGTTCCACTTAAAAGCATCATTTACTGCCGAAACCGGATTGGCTCAGTCCGACGTAGGGGTCCTCAAACTTTTTAAAGTGGGGGCCAGATCACGGTCCCTCAGAGAGCTGGAGGGCCGGACTATATGAACTACTAATTCCTACTGTAACACCTCGGCTGCGCTCACTGCCCAAAAAACCTGGCGGGCCAGATCAGACTCCTCTGCGGGCCGCATGTGGCCCGCGGGCCGTAGTTTGAAGACGCCTGGCTCAGTGGATAGAGAGTGTCAGCCTGAGGACTGAAGGGTCCTGGGTTCGATTCCGGTCAAGGGCATGTGCCTTGGTTGCGAGCACATCCCTGGTGGGGGGTATGCAAGAGGCAGCTGATCGATGATTCTCTCTCATTGATGTTTCTAACTCTCTGTCCCCCTCTCTTCCTCTCTGTAAAAAAATCAATAAAATATATTTCTTTTTAAAAAAGCATCATTTAGCCGAGACTGGTTTGGCTCAGTGGATAGAGCATTGGCCTGCGGACTGAAAGGTCCCAAGTTCGATTCCGGTCAAGGGCATGTACCTTGGTTGCGGGCACATCCCCAGTAGGGGATGTGCAAGAGGCAGCTGGTGGATGTTTCTCTCTCATCGACGTTTCTAACTCTCTATCCCTCTCAATTCCTCTCTGTAAAATCAATAAAATATATTTTAAAAAAATAAAAATAAAAATAAAAAAGCATCATTTAGTCTGTCATTAAGTTCTGATTTTATCATCTTTTTATATATTCTAGAAGAAATGCCCTACAAAACCATCAAATTAACTATATCCAGTTCCAAAGAAAGCATGAGTCACAAAAGAAAAAAACAGAAGAATTCAAAAGCCAATAAACATGCAAAGAATGACTCGCTAATTTAGAATGTTTTTGCACAGTATGACCAGTGTCCTTTATTCCTGGCACAGGGTGAAAAACGGGACAGGAAGGTAACAGAGGTCTTGAATTTGATTTGGTTTATTTGGTTTTAAACTAATTTTGGATCAATTACCTTTTTATTCTTTTAAATTCTCGCCCAAGAATATGCTTATTGATTTGAGGGGGACTTTATAGGGGATCGAACCCAAAACCTACCAGTAAGTATGTGCCTTGACTGAGAATTGAACCTGCAAATTTTTGGTATATGGGATGACACTCCAACCAACTAAGCCACCCAGCCAGGGCAAAATTACCTATTTTTAATTTAATTACCTATTTTCTTTTACTTGTTTCAAATGATCCTCTTTGAATAATTCAAGCCCTTTCTTATTTGGCTAAAACGTCAACTTCCTATGAAAACTAAGCTTTGAAAATAAACTTGAGAATTCTAAATCTCTCAATATATATCTGAGAAACTATATTTACCTAAAACCAAATCAGACCCTGCCCTTTTTGCCTAAAATCCTAAAGCAGTGTCCCCAAACCCTAAGGGCTAAAAGCCAAGCTCATGAACATGCTTTATTATTTTCCCACCCTTTCGCCTTCATTTCCTCAAATAAAGAACTGCTCGATTGTGTGTGTGTGCTCTATGTGTGTAAATAACTTTCTAAATATATTATATTGTTTTTAAATATATATTTTGTTATAACAATACTAGTGGCCCAGTGCATGGATTCATGCACATTGAAAGGAAATTAATTAAAAGATTTGTTCAGTAATTACATATCTGTAAGTTACATGTTAAAATAATATAATATAGTATTATAAAATTGAAATACGCACGCAACTGGTGCCAGCGAGAGCTTTATATGTATCACGCATGCAGGAGTCAATCTTTACTTTTAAATTGCCAGTGCACATCATATGTACCAGCAGGTTGGTCACCTAGCCTTTTATCTGTAACTAGAGGCCCAGTGCACAAAATTAATGCACTGGGGGCTTGGGGGAGGGGGATTTATCCCTCAGCCTGACCTGCACCCTCTCCCATCTGAGACCCCCTCGGGGGATGTCTGACTGCCAGAGGTATCGGGCTTAAACTGGCAGTTGAGCATCCCTCTCACAATCTGGGACCACTGTCTCCTAACCGCTTGCCTGCCTGCCTGCCTGATGGGCCCTAACTACTCTGCTTTCCAGACCAATAGCCCCCTAACCGCTCCCCTGCTAGCCTGATTAACTCCTACTGCTCCCCTGCCGGCCCAATCACCCCCAACTGCCCTCCCCTGCTGGCTATCTTGTGACTACATGGGAGTGGCTATCTTGTGACAATGTGGGGCTGCCATTTTGTGACAACCTGAGGGCAGCCATCTTGTGACATGGGAGTGGCCATCTTGTGATGATGTGGGGGCAACCATCTTGTGATGTGAGGGTCAATTTGCATATCATGCAAGCACCGGTTTGGCTCAGTGGATAGAGCGTCAGCCTGGGGACTGAAGGGTCCCGGGTTCGATTCTGGTCAAGGGCATGCACTTTGGTTGCGGGCACATCCCCAGTGGGGAATGTGCAAAAGGCAGCTGGTCGATGATTCTCTCTCATTGATGTTTCTGGCTGTCTATCCCTCTCTCTTCCTCTCCGTGAAAAATCAAAAAAATATATTTTAAAAAAATTTGCATATCACCTCTTTATTATATAGTACTAGAGGCCTGCTGCACAAATTCGCGCACCAGTGGGGTCCCTCAGCCTAGCCTGCAGGATCGGGCTAAAACTGGCTCTCCAATATCCCAAGGGGTCACAGATTGTGAGAGGGCGCAGGCCAGGCTGAAAGACCCCACCAGTGCATGATGGGGGCTGGGAAGGGACCCTGGAGGTTGGCCAGTTGGGGAAGGATTACGGGAGGGCCTCAGGGCATGCCCAGTCCGTCTTGCTCAGTCCCAATAGGCCAGACCCCAGCAGCAAGCTAACCTACTGGTTGGAGCGTCTGTTCCCTGGTGGTCAGTGTACATCATAGCGACTAGTCCAGCGTTTTTCAACCGCTGTTCCGCGGCACACTAGTGTGCCGCGAGATGTTGCCTGGTGTGCCGTAGGTGCAGACAAGATAAGAATTTTATAATTTTTCACTATTTTGTTTACTTAATATTTCATAATAAAGTAATTATAAAATACTTTCTTTGTGTTTATTTGATTCCTATTCAAGAGAATTACTTTATATATAGTCAATATAGGCACAGAGTTAAATTTTTTAACATTTTCTAATGGTGGTGTGCCTCGTGATTTTTTTCATGAAACAAGTGTGCCTTTGCCCAAAAACGGTTGAAAAACACTGGACTAGTCTACTGGCTGACTGTCTCCCCCTGATGGTCAGTGCACATCACAGCAAGTGGTTGAGTGACCTTAGCATACGATTAGCATATTATGCTTTGATTGAATGGACCACCAAATGACTGGACACCTAGTATATTACGCTTTTATTATTTATAATAATTTATCCTATATAATAAAAGTATAATAAGCTAATTAGACCAGACAGCTTAACGACCTTCCAGACCTTCTGGACAACCTTCCAGACGAAGCCAGGACTGAGAGGGCCAAGCCCCTTACACAAATTTGTGCATAGGGCCCCTAGTATATAGATATAAAATACACATACATTTACATATAGATAAGATACTGACACAATAGTTTCTCACCCTTACCTCTCTGCATCCTGCTTCTTCTAATTAGAACATTTCCCCTTTTCCCCATCTCATTCCCCTAGATCAGTGTTTCCCAAACTTTTGACATATGTGTACCCCTTCTATAATTTTCGTAACGCTGAGTACCCCTCGTACTCATTAGAACGTAGAATTAGGCGCAGCTAAGCACGGTGCAGTGCATATCCCCACCAAACTCCGGTGCAACGCGTACCCCCACCAAACTCTTCCCATACACCTGGGGGTACGCGTACCACACTTTGGGAAACACTGCCCTAGATAACTGCTAATACTCATTTATCACTTCCTCTAGGAAGCCTTCTCAGTTTGCTGAGAGCTTGATTCTATCAAGACTTGGAAATGCCACACAGGAAAGAACAAAATGGGAAAAGAGACTAACAATGAAGAAAGAGGGGTAAATGGAGGTATCCAAGGTACTGGTAATGTATTCTTAACCTGGACAGTGGATACACATGTTAATTTAATTGTAATTCTTTAAACCATAAGATATTTAACTTACATTCTTTTGTGTGTGTGTGTGTGTGTGTGTGTACGTTTTTTACAAAAGTATTTTCTTTCAATAGTAATTTTTTAAAAATGTTTTTACTGATTTTAGAGAGGGAGGGAGAGATAGAAACATCAATAGGCTGCCTCCTGCATACCCCCTACCTGGCCAGGCATGTACTCTGGTGCATGGGATGACGCTCAACCAACTGAGTCACACTGGCGAGGGCAGAAAACTATGGTCTTAAAGTAAATGCCCTAGCTGGTCTGGTTCAGTGGATAGAATGTCGACCTGCGGCTCAAGGGTTCCAAGTTTGATTCCGGCCAAGGGCACATGCCCAGGTTGCAAGCTCAATCACCAATAGGGAGCAGGCAGGAGGCAGCCCATCATTGATTTCTCTCTCTCTCTCTCTCCCCTCCTCTCTGAAAATCAATAAAAATATATTTACAAAAAAGTAAAAAATGTGTTAATAAAAAGTTGAAATGAAATTTATTTTAAATGAATAAGAATTTCAAATGAGTTGTACTTCCTGAATGTGATAACTGTGTTGTGGTTATACAGGAGAATGTCCTTCTTCTTGGGAGAAAACACTAAAGTATTTACAGATCAAGTAACAACATGTCTGCAAGGAAACACATGGCAAAATGTTAACAACTGAAAAATCTTTGTGAAAGTTGGTCTATGGATAGTAACTAACAATGTAAGTCTTCTTTTAGGTTTAAAATTTTTCAAAATGAAGAAGCATATATAGACCCTTCCCCCCAAAAGGGTTATGTTATAGAAAGAGCCAAATACAGAAAGAAAAAGAACTATGTAGGGAATGGGGATATATCTGTGCTCCACTTTCTACCACTTAAAAAGAAACTGCTCTCTCAAGATCACAAAAGATCTCCTTGTCAACACCCAACAGGTGCTTTTCAGATTTTACTGCTCTCTCTCTTCTCCAATCTCTTAACCTTTCTCTCCTAATGTATATGTGTCCCCAAGGTTCTATCCTTGGCCCTGTTCTTTTTTGGAATATCTAATCTATTCTCATGATTATATGCTAACACTTATACTAACAATTTCCAAACCTCTCTCTTTAATATCACTCTCTGAAGATATGTACACCCATTTTTGTGTCTAACTACTCCTCACTGTTCAAAGCAAACTCATTACCTGCAGCTCAGTCAAAACTTGTTTCTCCTCTCATCCATATTTCTTATCTCGGTGACTGGCCAAAAGCCACATTGTTCAATGTCTAGGTTTCTCTCTAAACCAGGGTGTTTTTAAAAATTTTTTGTGTGTCCTCCGTGGCAGGCAGAATTTTGGCCTCCATGTTTTCCATTCCTGGGAGTTAAGATTGTGACTACATAGTTAACTGGTAAAAAAGGAGTTTGTGGGTGTCATGAAAGTTTCTAATCAGTTGACAATAAATATGGAGATTATCCTATTTATGTGTGTACGTCCAATGTAATCACAGGAGCTCTTAAAAGCAGAGAATTTTCTGTGGCCAAAGCGAGGCAGCAGAAAGATTTGAAGGGCAGTAAGGATTCAAGGTTTCACTGCTGGCTTGATGACGAATGGAAGCATATACATCAAAGAAAACCGGGGCCTTAGTTCTACAACCGCAGTATTTAGAACCTGCCTGACTGTGAAAATACAGTGCTCCAGATGCCAAATAAAAGGGCTATACCTTCTAGCAATGGAAATGCGGGTCAGAAATGGGAAGTGAGAGGCCAGGTCCCCCTGGAAATAAGCAAGCTGTGTGGGGTTGAAGGTGTTCCTCGCCCAACCCATACCCTAACAGAAAAAAGGATCAAGTCCTTAAACCAAACTTCCGAAATGTCCCACAATCATCTCTACACCTGCATAACCTGCCCAGGGCCACATCTCCCGCATCTGTTTCGTCGGAAAAGACAGGCAGGCACATCGAGGACTCTAAGTGAGGGTCTGAAAATTCAAAAGCTTAAAACGACACCGTGAGTCACGGGCAACGCACGCACCAGTCCTCCCGGTAAACAGGAGGATAAACAGCATCATCAACGAGAACCCGGACTGAAGAGGAGAGAAAGGAAAGCTCCGGAGGAGATGGTACGAGAACAATCGCGCGTCTCCAGACCTGCACGGACGTCCCCAGGCCACCCGGAGCCCGCCCCGCTCCCAGCGGCCCCCGAGGCGGCAGGCTCGCCCCGCTGCTCCGCACCAGCCGGGCGCAGGGGCAGCCCCCGGGGCCCGGGCGCCTACCTCTCGGCGATGTAAAGAGTGCCGGTGCCCAGGCCCTTGCCGTTCAGCACCGCCTCGGTGTCGGGCTGCTGCTGCCGGAGCCCCTCCGCTGACCCGGGTGGCGGGAAACTTTTGAGGAAGCTCATCGCGGTGGTGAGGGCCAAGAGGATGCAGACCAAGAGGGAGCTGAAGCACAGCAAGAAACAGCTCGCCGCGTCTCGCCCCGGAAGCGATGGCAGCTGCCCCGGAAGAGCAACTTGGTCTGCACCGGGTTTGGAACCATAGAGACGAGACGCTCTAGCTAGCGCTCGGAAGCCTGGGACGGCCAGGCCTGGTTAGTCACGTGGGGCCCCTCCCTCTCCCTTTCTCCAGGATCCAGGCTAGGAATTAAGGAGCATTCTCCCCCACATCCTACTTCGGGGTCAGCATAGCACCCCCGTGAGAGAGGAAACACAAAAAATTATAAATCCTTTTTTTTTTTCTACAAAAAGGAAAACGGAGGCCTGAGACAGGGAGTCCCTTGCCTGAGGTTGCACAGGGAAGTAGAGACCACACTGAACTAGAGGTCAGAGGTCTCCTAACTGGGTTCCAGGCTCTTCTCCACCTGAACCCGCCTGCTTCCAGCTTGTTCACGTCTCCTAGGTCCCAGCTGCAGACGGCATTCTAGGTCCTGACGCCGCCCTGCTGTCTCCAGGTCTCAGGCAGGCAAATGAACCCAAAGAGGCAATCAATGCTGGGGGAAGAGCTGGATATGTCTGCAAGGAAACGGGGTGTCCAAGGGAAAGAATCCACCAGATTTTGAACTGCTTTACTTCTTCGTTAGGCACTGAAGTAGTAATAGTAGCTAAAGGTAACCAAGTGTTATGCACCAGACATGGTTCTAGGCCCATGGTCAGCAAACCTCAGCTCACGAGCCACATGCGGCTCTTTGGCCCCTTGAGTGTGGCTTTCCACAAAATACCCCGGCCTGGGTGAGTCTATTTTGATGAAGTGGTGTGAGAAGAAGTTTAAGTTTAGAAAGTTTGGCTCTCAAAAGAAATTGCAATTGCTGTATTGTTGATATTTGGTTTTGCTGACCACTGTTCTAGGATCTCTCTACCTGTGTTATTTCTTCATTTCCTCTTTATGACAACCGTATGAGAAAGTTATTGGCGAAGTTTTACAGGGGGAAGGCCTGAGGCACTCAATTCAAGAGCAAGGGTTGAAGCCATGGCCGGTTAGCTTGGCTGGTAAGAGCCTCATCTCCTAGGGCAGCCATGGTTGCGGATTCCACCCCAGGTCAAGGGACATACAAGAATCAATCAATAAATGCATAAATAAGCAGAATACCAAATCAATGCCACCCCTCTCTGTGTTAATAAGGAAAAAATTTTAAAAAGAACAAGAGCTTAGCCATGAAAGGCCAAGTGGAATTCAAGTCAGTCAGTCTCGTTTAAGGCATCACTTTCTTGCCTATACCTTTAATATTGGACTATTGTGGCTGGAGGATGGGAGGTTTGTAGTTTTATTCCTAGCATTTGAATGGTTAAAGGAATTTTAGATTTTAAATTGGGATTATTTTGTTAGTACTGAGACTGGAGGAGGGCCATTCAGAGCAGGGAGAGTGTTACAATGTTGTTGCCAAATTAGACAGGTGAGCAATTGGCAGTAAAGATGGACAGATTCTAGAGCTATCCAAAGGTAAAATCCTCAGGACCTGGAGACAGACTCGGAGGAAGTGGTGGTAAAGGTGAAAATCGGGATGGATGAAGAAGAGAGAAGTCAACGATTATTCCTTAATTCCCAGCCTAAGTCATTGAGTGAATTCTGACTAATTTCTCTAAGATGGAGAATCCAGGGGGAGGAGGAGGCTTTGAAAGTAGCTAACCAATTGAATCTTGGTAATGACTAGTTGGAAGGTTCCCATGGAACATCTACATGCAATTGGCCATTTAGTAAAACAGCTAATGCTTTGCTCAGAAACAGAATCCCCCAATAACACGGAGAAAGTTGGCTAAAACCTGTATAATGGATAACAGAAGTCAATACCACAGTTTGTGCTCACCTGGCTGTACGGAGTCTTACTGATGATAATTTTATTGTAAAGCCAAGGGCCCTTGGGTATGTGCAGGAAAGAGTTATCATAGCAAGCCCAAGAATGCTTATCCTTAGAAAGGCCTGCTGGTAAGCTGGCCCTTCAGTATTGCCTGGGAACTTCGATTTAAAGAGGTCCCCATAGCCGAAACCGGTTTGGCTCAGTGGATAGAGTATCAGCTTGGGGATTTAAAGGTCCCGGGTTGGATTCCGGTTAAGGGCATGTACCTTGGTTGCAGGCACATTCCCAGTAGGGGTGTGTGCAAGATTCTCTCATCAATGTTTCTAACTCTCTATCCCACTCTCTTCCTCTCTGTAAAAAATCAATAAAATATATTTTAAAAAATAAAGAGGGTCCCCACACCTTAACTGGGTAGTTCAGTTGTTAGCACTCATTAGTCAACAGAGCCAAATATCAACTGTACAAAGATTGAAATTTCTTTTGAGAGCCAAATTTTCTAAATTTAAACTTCTTCTAACGCCACTTCTTCAAAAGACTCGCCCAGGCCGTGGTGTTTTGTGGAAGAGCCACACTCAAGGGGCCAAAGAGCCGCATGTGGCTCACAAGCCACAGTTTGTCTATCAAGGGGGTAGATCATTGTGCTTAAATTGTTTGGGCAAACAGTGTGGCTTATGCTAAACACCTGCTTCCTTTCCTTCTGAGGGTCTGTGATTTTGGTATGTGCTAGGCAAGATGGCCCTGTATGATCAGTTTCCAGTAAAACCCTGGGCACTGAGTCTGTAATGAGCTTCCACCGAAAAGCACTTCACAGGTGTGGTCTCAGCTCATTGCTGCGGGAATGAAGTGCATCCTGTGTGACTCCGCTGGAGGGACCCCTTGAAACTTTGTCCATATACCATGTCTCTTCACCAATTTTGCTTAGTTTGTTTCACTGTAAAAAATCAAAACTGTGAGTTTGACTATAGGTTAAGTCCTGTGAGTCTCCCTAAGGCAGTGTTTCTCAAACTTCTCTCATGATGAGAATCACTTGGTGGAGTTGTTAAAATACAGATTCCTGAATCCCAACTAAGAAGTGCTAAACTAGAATTTTTGGGAATATATAGGTAAAATTGTATACTTAACTAGTGCTCTAAGCTTATATATATATATATATGGTAATTAAATTTTTAATTTTTTGAGGAACCACCAAAAAACTCTTCCATAATGATGGCACCATTTTATATTCCCACCAACTATGCACAATGGTCCCATTTTGCACATCCTCACCAACACTTCTGTTTTATTTTGTTTTTTATAGTATCCATCCTAAGGTGTGTAAGGTGTGGTTTTGATTTCCCTAATGATTAGTGATTCTAAGTATATTTTCATTTGCTTATTTTCATTTCATTTATATATCATTGGAGAAATTTTCTAGTATTTTTGAAAACCATGGCATGAGCACATCCAGATTATTGAAAGTGGCTGTCATAGAGAGGTCAAACATCCTAAACACTGTTTCTTAGCCTTCTCTCCTCATCTTGTATGCCTTTCCTGGTTATGGGTCCTTACCTCTTATCCTTGCCTCCTTGGCACTGTCCTGATTCTCCTTATAACATCTCAGTAAAATTCCAGCCCTGCTTTCTGGATCAGCCTGAATCTGAAGCTGCTCATTTCTTGCCGGCATAGATTAGCTTTCACTCCATCTACTTAAGAATTTCTTTACCTTTTTTTTTTAAAAAAAAACAAAAACAAAAACATTTTATTAATTTTTTACAGAAAGAAAGGGAGAGGGATAGAGAGTTAGAGACATTGATGAGAAAGAGATACTGATCAGCTGCCTCCTGCACACTCCCCACTGGGGATGTGCCCGCAACCAAGGTACATACCCTTGACTGGAATCAAACCTGGGTCCCTTCAGTCTGCAGGCCAGCGCTCTATCCACTGAGCCAAACTGGTTAGGGCTACCTTATTTTTTTAAAGATATTTTCCTACCTAGTTAATCTCTCTATATAAAAGCCTAAGTGACCATTCAACTATTCGAATGTTAGTTATGACGCGAACTGACCATCAGGGGGCAGACACTCAATGCACAGGCATGGAAACTTGGAACAGATGGAAGGGGGAAGGAGGGAAAGTGGCAAGAGATGAACCAAAGATCTTATATGCATACTAAAGGCCTGGTGCACAGATTTGTGCCTGGGTGTGGTCCCTCGGCTAGCCCTGCAGAGGCCAGACTGAAACTGGCAGTTTGATATCTCCCAAGAGGTCCTGGATTGTGAGAGGGTGCAGGCCAGGCCAAAGGACCCCACTGGTACATGGATCTGTGACCTGGGCCTCTAGTATCCTATATAATAAAAGCCTAATATACAAATTGTCCCCTTAACCAGAAGTTCATCCAGGGGTGGGGCTAACTAACCGCTGTGGCCCCTCCCTGCAACCAACTCCATATCTTCTGGCTGTGGCAGCAGGCAGCTGAGGGAAGGGAGGCCTGGTTGGCAGCCAGCAGCTGCTAGGAACCCTACCCATGCACCAATTTTATGCACTGGGCCTCCATATATATATATGATGTTTTATTGATTTGAGAGAAAAACATTGATGAGAGAAACATAGATTGGTTACCTTTTGCACACCCCTACTGAGGATCGAGCCCACAACCCAGGCACATGCCCTGACCAGGAGTGGAACTAGTGCTCTCTTGGTGCATGGGATAACGCTCAACCAACTGAGCCACAGTGGCGAGGGCCGTTAAATTTTTTTTTTTCTGGTTAATATTTTAAATCAGAATTGAAAAGAGATAGACTCCACTAGTTTGTTAGTAAAAAAAAAAAAAATGATTTTTCTGTATATCTTACTGTATTCTAAGTAATCTTAGAATATGTATCAGATCAACATTTGTAGATGGGACTCATGCTCACGTTGGTAGAGCCTCTTAAAGTCATCTGGTCTAACCTCTTCTGAATGTATAGCGCTATTATTCTCCTGGCAAGTGCCATTTCAGCCTAAACCGAAACATCCCCAACTGGATTGAATTCACTCCCAAGTTATTAGAAAACTGTAAAAAAAAGGTTCTCTATTGAATAAACTGAAAGCCTTTGCTTTAAGGCTTCTGCCCTCTGATCTAGTTCTGTGCTCCCACAAGGCCACACAGAACAAGTCCAAGGCCTTTTTACTGTGTCAGTTCTCCAGAAGCTAAAGATAGAAATCAAGAATAGCTTTCTAAAGAATTCACCTGCTGAAAACCAAATCAGTTTCACTAAAAAAGAGATGTTGACAGGAAGCCAGGAAGGCTGGTCAAAAACCTTAATTGCTCTAACCTTTAGTTGAGATTTTGTTAGCTGAAGCAGAATCTACAAGTTTCTGTTATTTCCTGCCTAAGGGCTACATGTAAATTTCTGTTTATGTTGCTTAAGATGTCTTAATAAAAGGGGATGGCAGGGCCAGAGCAGGAGTAGTTCTCCCACTAGAGTTGGTCTACCGCCTGGCCCCCTATATCGCCAAATTGAATTTCTTCAAGTCTCTTTTCATTTGTGTGCGGCCCTTCTCCAGAACCTGAACCCTGAATTGGAACTCTTTCTACGTGGGCCATGAAAGAGAGTCCTATATTCACCTACTTGGCAAATAGCTTTAAAATGATTTTGAGGATATTGATGCACTTGCAAATTTCCTTTCTAGATAGTGAAATCAATTCATTTATTTCTGGGGTGATAAAAAACTTCATCCTTCATTAACTGTTATTGAAAATTGTTTTCCATGTGCCACAAAGTTTAAAATAAACTAAATTTGCAAACACATCATGCTAAATACATCCAATTATTTAAATATTTTATTATGACAATTGACATATATTAAGCGAAAGAAATGACAGAAGTATAATAAAACATTTTTAAAGAAAAAGTTACACAATTCGGCCAATAGCTGTAAAATAGCTTTAGGCCTACCTTATAACACCAAGAGTTCCAATCAGACTGTAGTGAGACATTGAACATTTCATTAACAAAAATATTGGCACCAGCCACAACATATTTTGGTTGTCACAAGGATTATATTGAAACAACTATGCACTGCAATTCTAACACACTATGTGTTTATACACTGCAGTTAGCCCCCGAAGCTTTAAGCTACCAGGAATTCCCATATTTCCTATGCACAAAATTTACTTTGTGCATTAGTGGAATCACATTTCCAGTTTTCAGACCTCTTCCCCTCCCACCCCCACACACATGCAGTACGATATATGTGGTAGAGAGCACTCCAGTTTCCTCTATTTGACTAATAGTACGTTCCTGATCACCTCAACAGTTTGTTAATCTTGGAGCTTCTGCTTTAGCTCTCATCTCATAAAAAACAAAATAAAGCGTCTGAGAACCTGTTCCAGGAATAATGTTTTATGCATAGGAAAATAAAGCATTTCATATAAGCATGTCTGAAAATCCAAGAGGCATTCTGATCAAACACCCCTAAATTCCAGCTATTACTTTAAAATCAAAATGAAAATCTTACATATACCATTTACAAATTCTTATCTGGAATTTGTATTCTTCACCTGGAAATTCGATTCCCACGCTTCACCTCTGATTGGAGAGGATAGCCAAGAAACTGACATCCCACATTAGCTGACAATAAAATTAACTTGGGTAGAAATTATGACATATGGAAATGAATTTAATGCTTTCCTAGAATACACTTGTGCTACAAAGGTAAGAAATTAGAATGATAAAACCATCAGGTGGCAAAAAGTACTGGCATTCAAACAAAAGTGTCTTAATAAAACTTACGGTAAAATGTGTCATTAAGACTGCTAGAATTGGCAGCTCTGTAGAGACGTCAAAATACTTTTTATCAAATAAGGAAATTGGAATTTGAAGCTAATACTCTTTCCTGCCATTCTCCAGCAAATATTCCTGTGGAATTAAGTCTACTGAATAAAAGAACCAAACGATCAATTCTAGTTTTTCCTTCTTTTATAGATTGAAAAAAAGCCAAGCTCTGTCCCCACTTGCCCTCAACCCCAATACAGGACACCACCTTTCAAGTTGTATACAAAACCTGGCACGTTTGGGCAAGTACAATTCAGATACTGTTATCAAAAAGCTACTCTGATAAGAGCAAAACACCAGACCAACATTGAGAATATCCTAGTTAGGCATCACAAAAATCACACACTCTTAAGAATATGCTCTTTACTGACAAAATTTGGGCCATTATAGCTGTTTCCAAGTAGAAAAGTCCATTTACATGGACATAAACTAGATCTGCGTGTTTGTGTCTATGTGTGTGTATAATTTTCATGCAATGATCTTAAAACTTTGGAGACAAGGATTATTTGCCTAATTTCAAAGCTGTCCACATGGCAGTATTGATATGCACCAACTCTGCTACAGGGCAGGAGAATGAAGAAGACCATGGCACAATTTCTTTTTAAACAATTTCAGGTTTAATTACATAATGCACCTGTAGATGTTCTAGCATAAACACAGTTGTAAAAATCTACATCCTATTTTTAGGGTATTTTCCCACTTCTCATCCTTTAAAAGCTGTACAGTTATAAAAGTGTGACTCTCAAGCAAAATAAACTTTGTTTTTTTCGCAACATACAAAATAAGTTAAACGATTCAGAAGGTCTTGAGCCATTATGTTTCCCCATGACTGTGTCTGGCTATCCATCAGCATGACATGAGGCTCCTGGTCTATGACCAGAACTCAATAAATACAGGTCCAACGAAACCCCAAACACTTAAATTAGCAACTGATGAAAGTTAAGAAAACATATAGTTAGGGTTAACAATTCCATTCTTAACTTACATTATCCAGTGGCAAAATGAAAAAGGAGGGTCACTCAGTCCTTAGTGCATTTTCTAGCTTGTACCGGTTTGGCAAGGAAAAAAAAATCACAAATGCAGTTCCTTTAAAGATGTTTTTTCTTATTCAAAATGTCTAAAGAGCTTAATTAAGACATCTCTACACATCTAATAATTTGTTATGCCCTCTATTATAACTTATGCATAGGATAGACATCTTAAAGTTATTAAAATAAAATCAGCATCTTCACTAACTGAAATCACTAAATGTGCCAGAATTGGGTTTGCAGCATTTCCCAGAGCAAGATGGTATAAATATAAAATGCACACAAATAAACAAACAAGAACAGAACTTACAAAACCAAAATGAGGAGAAGCAGCCACTCATGGAATCCTAATACATTTCTGAGAGAATTGATATGAATAAAAAAGTGTTGCATGTTCAATCTAAGGTGTTTATATACCAAGCGCACTACATTTTGGCTTTTAACGACTGCTTGCTTGCTGGGCAATAACCCTATCTTCATCACGTGTTACACAGTTCCTTAGCAATTCGTGGCACTCAAAAACTGTCAGATCACTTACGTTAAAGTGAAATATTTTGAAAACAAACTAAGTGTACACACAACACAATAACCCAGTTTTAATACACTGATAGCAAAAGGCATTGCGTTCAGAATTGGCATAAAAACAATGAAGAAAATCAGCAGTTAGCTTGCCACTTCCAAGGTAGTTTATAGTTACATTCTGGGAATGGTGGATGAAGTAGGAATGGATTTTGTTCTAAGTTTAATAACAGATATTAAGCAGAGGACCAGGTAGATTACAATAGATCTGCAGTTTTGGCATTCTCACTTCCTGGGAAAACCAGGAATATATTTTTAGAACGTCAAACCAAGAAAAGTACCTTCACAACTTTCCTCTAGATTTTCTGTAATCAAATGTTCATAATTTCATATGTTATATTTAGCTGATTTTGTCAGTGATTTCAAAGGACTCATTTTTATCCTAATATCTAAAGTATGTATACGTTTATATAATATATATATATTCATTCCATTAAAAAAAATCTATAGCTGTGAGGCCATGCCATGAATTATGGCCCGTTCCATCATGTTGAGGAAAGGCAGAGTTCATGTTTTCTGAGTATGAACCAGTAGATTCCTTAGGTTCCTTTCAGTTGTATAGCAGTACAAACTAGCGAATGGTGAACAACTCTCAGCCTCACAAACATAAGCTAAAATAGCATTCCTTGTGACAAAGAAAATCCCATCAACCCCACTTAAAAATAGCTAATATTTCTCCATCTTACCTCTAAATAACAAGTAAACATCTACATTTTCCTTACTATTGGTACTTTGCTCAAACATATATTACGGATGGGTCCTATTAATTAGAAAATGAAAACCGGAGTTTATAATAGCCTTTTAAAATTAGTTTAAAAATCTTTTTGCAAAAGCTTCCTCATCATTTGAAGTCCTTGGTTCTTTGGCAGGTCAAACTTATTAAAAAGATTATCAGTAGATATGAGTCTACTGAATTTGGAACCTTAACCAAATGGAAAAAGATGTGTTCAGGAAACCCAACCTCAATATATCAGGTGTATTCTTGAGAATATCCCTGCCATCTTTCTCTAGAAATGTACCAACATTGGGAAATATTTTACACAGAACACTAGTTCATCAGTACAAATATATAAAACCAAAAGGTGTATTTTCAGTCTTTTTTTCACATAATTCAAAGCCTCTGCAAGCCTTTGCTTTATGACAATTTAGTTTGTTTTCAAACCTTTACAGAAATTACATTCATAGCCTGAGTACTAAACTACATCTCCCGTTAATACATTTGCTTTACACTATGGAGTTCTGAATCCAAATTGTATTTTTAAAAAGGGGGGTTAAAGTACTAAAGGGCTCTATTGTGAACCTAAATCCATGGTTAGTACTCCAATAACAAGGACTCAAGATGTTCTAAACCCTAGAAGAATTGCTGCTTTCCTATGCACTGTCCAGTTCCTAATGACTGAATTATGTCTTGGGATATAAAATGTTTACTATTTCCAAATTTTTAAAAACTTCTCAAAGTATGTTCAGAGTTAATATTTCAGTGAACAGACTCTTTTAGGGACTGAATCTAAATACCAATTAGCAAAGTTGTTTTTGAACTGTTCAACATTTCATCACTCATAATGAATCTCTCTGCATACTAAGAATTTATAAGTATCAGCTACTTGGATTACATTCTTAGTAAGTGAAAGTTAATGTAATCAGAATGTAAGGTTAGAAGGAATACACTATCAACTTCAAAAACAATTCAAGTTCGGTCAATAATGGGCAGCCCCATATTAATGGGGCATTTGCTGAATGAATACTCAGTCTTCACATGATAAAAAATTACCTTTTGCTCTCTGTAGCAGAAGAGTACAAAGAACTCCTTATTTCACATTAGGCATCCTGCAAAAGAAATAATCTACCCATTTAATACTTATCACTTGCTTAACTGAACAGAATAGGTGGAAGCAGGAGCTGGTCTATCCAGAGGTAGAAACAGGGCACATGGAGTTTCCACACACAGGGGCTTGACCAGCCGCAGGACTACCAGTAAAACAGTAGAGGGAGACTGGGAACAGGATAAGTCACTGGAACATTCTAACCACTTACCTTGCACTAGTGGGAATCCTTCTAAGGCCTGACTGATAAAATAGGCTAACATTCTTAAGACTTCCAAATAAAAGAAACGAACCTAACTAGAAAGGAGGCTTGTTAATGAATGGGGCTCCTTACATAGCCCTCTCCTCTACTGTCTGTGAATGTGAGCCCTTCCCTCCCTTCCAGTGGGACATTGTCTCAAAATAAAAATCACAACTTACTTGGAACCACATGCTATTTGTGCACCCTATTTTTAGGCTGCTTTCATTATTTTATTTTTTATACAAATACATATACATTGCTAGAATCAAAGCAAAAATATTAATGGGCAGGCACTACAGAACTAAAGTGAAACAAAACAAACAAAAGAACCAATAACTGAAAAACAACAGCTATAAACTTTGAAGATCAAAAAGATAAGATTTTAGGGCAACACCTGTTGAGGAGGGAAAAGAAGGAGTATAAAGTTTCTAGAGAGGTATTTATAATGCAAGTCTAATGCCAGCTTTTTAATAATAAAAAAGAGAAGTGCTTTACTATACACTGACTAGCACATATGCTTAATTTGGAAAGAAAAATTAATGAAGTTTTTGGGCCAGCAGCAGATATGGTGTGTCCATTGCCGGCAACAGACACAACATTGGAACATAAAAACCCAAATCCCAGGGCAAAAGTATTCACAGAAGTAATGGCTGAAGGTTTCAGAATTTGACAGGCAAGGTTTAATCACAAGTGCTACACTTTGTACAATGTTATTTATGGCTCTGCCTGAAATTTTACAGCTGTAACAGAAACTAAGACAAAGCTCATAATTTAGTGTCAATTACATGTTAGATACACCTTTTCTTGAAACAAAGAGCTTAACTTTTTTTTTTTTTTTAAGTGTTGAGATGTTTGAAATGGATGTCATGCCTATTAAGTACATCTGTGGTTCTCAATCAACTCTATGTTTGTCATGTGACTATTAATGAATTTTAATAGAAGTCTAATGGCCAAAGGCAAAAACTACATTCAAACCCTGCTAATAAATCCAGGCAGATAAGAAAGTCCAAGACACACACACACACACACACACACACACACACACACACACACGCTAAAACTCAAACTAAAAATCTCCCAAAGGAACTGCTTTGTTTGTAGACTTCAATTTGAAGTAGATACTAAGGGCAAGAATAGACCAGTTAAAATTCACCTGAAAATCCTTTCCCCTTCTTCAAATGTGCTAAAATACCACTATCAGCTTAGCATCTCTTCATGTGTGTTATGTATAGATGTATTTGTTTCAAAATGATATCTTATATATTTAAATAGGTGGCCAGAACAAAAGAGTTACACCATCTGCAAAGTTTACAGTCCACTGGGCCTTAAAAGAAGACTACACTCATTTCACTAATAACTTTCCATGATAGTAGATTAGAGGCCACCTCATCACTGCCTAAAGCTGTAAAATTTGTTGCTAGCACAATCTGGTTGTCAAAGCTTCATTTTACATTTTACTGTACAAATACTTTTCAGATGATTTTTTTTAAAACAAGAAACTCAGCTACACCAAACTTAGTTTTTTTTAGGATGGTACCTCTTCGGTCTCTTCTTTATTAAGTGTGGTTATCTCCAATAGTAAACAAGTTGATTCATGAATGCTGCTACTAAATGACTTACGTATGATGTTATCTACAATTCTCAAACTGCAACAACACAGACTCGAACTTTTAAACAGTCTGTTAATCATCATCTATGCCATGAATGTTTAAATATAATATATATTTAATATGAAAAAGCTAAAGCACAAGTGCTTTCTCCCACCCCTAATTCGGTTTTCGGCCCTCGCAGATTCGGAATGCATTCTTTATCCACCCTTTTCACAAAGTCAGGAGAGCTCAGGAAATATAAAGTCAAAAATATACAAATCTTTGTTGTTATTATAAGAATTTCCCCCCCCATGAATGAAATTACCAAGGACCATGAACTTGGAAAAAGAAAATCAAAAGGAATTTACAGCAATTATTTATCTTCAAAGTTCAAAACTGGTCAGTTCACAGAAAGACTTCAGGATTTGTTGAAATTTTTCTTCTAAAAAGTCATTCTGTAGTGGAGTTTTCTAGGAAAAATAAAACCGTTTTTAATAACTGGCCCGCTGGTGTGAGAGCTACCGTGGAATAAATTAGCACAAAAATGGAAAAAAAGTCTTATAACTGTTCACTGTTACAGACGTAATCAACAAGGTCAGTCACTCTTAAAAGCTCATCTTCGTCCTCTTCTGGAGCCCCTGCCTCCTGCCCACCATTTGTCCCATTGGGAGCCAGGCTTGCACTGGCTGTGCTGTTGTCCTTGGGGGTCTGAGGCTTCTCCGCTGGCTTGCCAATCAAATTCTCGATGGCTTTGCCAGGACTCTGTCCATTGGTGGAAGGTAAATCCACTAAACTATAGTCCAATGGGCTTCCCACCTTGCCCACATTTTCAAAGTCCTCTTCCTCATCACTGTCTATCCGATAGGGCTTCTTGGTGCTCTCCTGTTCTGAGGGCAGGATCCTGGGCTGGCTCTCACGGGCAGGCTGATCTGCATCTCCATGGGCATTGTCACAACTCTCCTCCTCGTCTGTCTCAATCCGGTGTAGCCGTTTTCGGGATGGTTTGTCTTCCTCTTCTGCTTCTGAATACTCATCTGCGCTTCGACCCCGCTTCCGAAGTGACCGCTTTGATTCTTTAGCTAGCTCCTCATCTTCAGAGTTCTTGGACATATAGCTCTCTAGAATAAACAGCACATTTAACCATAAACAATTTGAGTACTTCTCCTTTTCCTCCCCATTCACGACGTGTCCTGTTTTCAGACTTGTTTGTACACAAATGTCCCTTCAATAGGCCTGATTTTTCCTTCCTCTCAGCCCCATAACCATACCCAATAGGATTCATGTGTACCTATGATTTTAGAGAAGAGTAGAATCAGATTTCTTAGCGAAATCTTGCCAAACTCTGGACAACTGAAACACTGTGCTCTTATCCCATGTTATTAAATGTCTTTGCTAGTCTTTAAATGTCTTCCCTTGTCTATACCTACATCTATGTGATCCAACCTAGTCTCATGGCTTGACATGACATGTATATACTGGTAACTCTCACATTTGTTTTTAGGTACCCCCTAAATCCCAGACTCATGTTATCAAATTGCTTACTCAACACCTATGTTTGGATTTCTAAACAGACATCTCAAACCTAATGTGTTATCTGAGCTCCTAACCCTCCACCTCAAATTTGTGCTATTCTCACCTCCACCTTCTCAGTATTTGACAACTCCATTCTTCCAATTGCTCACTTATCCTTGATTCTTTCCTTTCTACCATCTAATGCAACAGTTCATCCTTTAGGTCTACCTTCAAATATATCCATAATTTGACTTTTTCATCTCTTTACTGCTTCAACCCTACTCTTACCTACCATCATCTCTCACCTGGCCTATTTCAATGGCCTCCGACCTGGTCCTAGATTCTAACTATGTCCCCTTCAATTAATGCATAACACAGCTACCATAATCAAACAAAAACATGTCAGATCATATCACTCCTTTCTTCAAAATTCTCATTATTTCTCATTTACACCAACTAAAATCCTAAGTCTATATACAATGGCCTGCTACAATATCCTATGTGGTAGCCAGTAATGACATATGGCTACTTTAAATTTAAATTAGAATTAGATAAAAATTAAAAATTCAGTCCCTCCATTACACTAGCCATATTTCAATTGATGAACAGTCACATGATACCAGTGGCTACTATTTGAACAGCACACAGAAGGTTTCCATCAGTGCAGAGAGTTCAATTGAACAGCACTGATACTCCTCAGGGGTTGGCAAAATATTTTTGGAAAGGGCAGTTTCTATTACAACCATTCAACTTTGTGGGAAAGCAGTACGGACTAAAAAAATGGCTATGTTCCATTATAACTTGATTTGCAAAGTGTATACACAAACAGGTAGGCTGTAGTTTGCTGATTATTGCTCAACATGATCTAGTCCCTGTTGATCTTCCTGCTTCATCTCATCCTTTTCTTCCTCTCCAACCTGGCCTTCCTTCTATTCTTTGAACATGCCAGGCACAGACTTGCCTTATGACCTTCACATTGTAGTTTCATGTGCCTGAAGCACTCTTCTTAGATAACTGCATGACACACACTCAACATTTCTTTCAGGTCTTTAATCACATCTTGTCTTCTTAGATATTTACGTGGTACCGAACCTGAAATTCCAACTACTCTCGCAACCCAACTTTATTTTTCTCTACAGCTTTTTATTTCCACCTAATAGATCATATATTCTACTTATTTACCTTGTATATTATCCTTCTATCCCACCCCCCTACTAAAAGTGACATGACGAAGTTACCCACTGTTTTTGGCTCTTTTGTTCACTTTCCTATTCTCAGTGCCTAGAATAGTGAATAGTTCAGCAAGTATTTGTTTTTTATAGTTGAATTAATGAGTTCAATGTTTGTT